ATCATTATTTTCCGGAATCGCATATCCGGATTTGCCTCCGAGGGTTGGTGAGACTTCCAAAATCTCATCATTTTGATTAAATTGTCTATAATCCGAGTCTATTTCGCGCTTCTTTTAACTCTAGCACTTTCATGCACCTGTGTCATAGCCTAGAGGTACATCCTAACGAAGTCTGGAATTGACAGCAATTCCGGAAATTATTTCGTATAAAACACTACCACGCAAACCGATGGAGCCCGATTTAACAAAGTACGTGTCTATCTGACAGCTGTGTCATTTGTTACAACATCTTATCGGGTTGTTATACGGAGGAAGGGTTCTCGGACAAGACCGGGTAGGATATTTGGTAATTTAATTCACCACCAGATCTTTTGTTATGAATAAACATTTCTGAAACCAGAAAACGTGCACAATAGAAAAGCCCATTTTCTTGGGTAAATAAAAATATGTTTACGTTTCGAAAGAAAATAATTGGTTTGGTAATATCGCATTCAACCACTGAATAACAAAAACAGTCGTAATGGAATATGTTGCAAGCAGGATAGTTAACAAAACCTTGACTCAGCCCCGACTTTTGACATAGTGTGTTTCGTATCTCCAATTTGTCTTTAAATTTTGACATCTTTCACTGAGCTATGTTATACGGGGACATGTTAATTTGCAAATCCGTTGTGAGTAGCCAAAAAGACACTGTGAAGGACGACATTTTAAAACATCACTTTACTTGGGAGTTGTGGTTTATCCTAGTTGGATAAAAGCACAAAAGCATAGAAACATCGCCGCGTTAAGAAAATCGTAATTCAAAATTATGATAAATGTTAAGATGGCAAAATGTGAACACATGAAACATTCACAGGGAAAACCGCGAAAATAAATGGAGAATATGACCAGGCATTCCGGAATTTAACCATTTTCTGCTTTGTCGGCGACATGTAAACTGAATTAAGTAAGCGGAGTCGCGTTCTGCAATGAAACCAGCAGTAGAATCACCAGGCATTCCATAGAAAGAAGTACTTTGAAGACACTCGGATTTGATCACATGTTCATGTATATGAAGAGGTACATAGATTTATTATCAAATAGTTGATAAGGACATAGCGAAGTGTTGCGTTTTATCAGTAGGCTCAGTGGATGAGAGAGTAATGTACGCTGTCTATATAGTGGCGTGTTAACTCATCACAACTCGTTTAAAGAGGCAGTGTTTAAACCAAACTTCTTTAATTTCCGCACTTAACAAAAAGTATACGCACTTTATCTGAAGCTTAACTTTTCAACCTATACATCTCCATCCGTGTCAAACTCGGCCATTTCTCGGCCTATCCCCTCCCACCTCGTGTAAAAAGTTCACGTTGATAAATGCTTTCCAAATTTTCAAAAGAGATAGATGATCTTACTTCTGCCTCTACTTTCACGGACTATTTTCGAAAGCTGGCACTTTCTAAAGCATGGATTAAGCTCCAATATAGACACGGCAATAAATCTGCCTTTCAAATCATTAACTTGCTAAAACACGACACGGCGATGGAAACTTCAAAAAAGTAATAAAATTATTTTTTTTATCAAACCAATGTAAATTACATTATCAAATTGTTTCTGTGTGTAATTTGAACCATTCTGACTTTTGTACGAACAATGCTCTGCAAATTCAAACGCCATTATTGTAAAGTACATACTTCACAGCATGACCTGGTACTTACGATGGAGAACGTTTACGCTACCTAGCCAGTCTCACTAAAGGTGTCCATGTTAACAATACATAGATGAAGGGAATTATCGTTATCGGATTTTCGACGCCTTGTTTGATAATATCTGTGTAACGAGTGCCAGGAATTAAGGATATGCTCGTAAACAAGAAATTGTCCATGTCACGCGTGAGTGAGTTTCGGGCTCCACCTTAACATTTTGTCTGGTGTAATAAGATATAGAGATATTTCGTCAAATATTCGGTCGGACAAAACATGATATTTGACCCAAATTCTTGTATAAATGTAAAAAAATTATGTATCTATTAAATTTTGGATAAACATTATACATACACAATTATTTCATTTTTCAAATATGTTTTTAGGTACTCTGGTAAGATAACCATAGAAACCAGCTATCGTCATGAACTACCTTATGAAGGGGAATATACCATTAGATTTATGTCAATTTTTTTTCAAAAAGCGAATGTAATAATAATTTGTGGTTCTCTTTACGCATGTACCTTTCATTACAAACCACTACGTAGGGAGAAATGTTTGAGAAAATAGTGCTGTTTCGTTGGACTCTTCAAAGCGGATAAAAGAAACACAAAACAGGGGTGCAATATAGACATGAGATAAGTTATCAATGGATTTCATAACGACATTAAATCCTACATTTCTATTTACCATATTTATTTCATATCCTGAAACGTTGATAACTATCGCAATAAAAACCACTTCATAAATACGTGCCTTTTTGTTTTACTGGGGCGTGTGTAATGTCGTGAGGATACCTTTATAATTCTACATGATATTATCATTATCATCAGGATAGAAGAGAAGTGTCGAAATCTGTAATTATCTGTTCCAGTCGTATTTTATCAAAATCCCTCAAGATAGGGAGTGGTAAGAATACTGGAATAGTAATGGTTACTTTGTCCCTACAACCCTGGAACTCAAACTCATCAAAGATATTATGATTCATAATAATTAGTAGCAGTTTAATTATAATTCCTTAACATATGAAGCTACTTGATTGCTGTGTCGGTTACCTTGACCCTAAACCCCTGAAAATCTGCTAGACTGCTGACATGGTATTTCTAAAAATAGTAACGGTGACCTAGACTACACAACCATGAAACTCAAACTTTATAATGCTTGACTCAAATCCTTAAAGGTATGAAGCAACGAGAGAGCTGACAAACGTTCTCTAAATATATATATTGTACGGTGACCTTGAACTTGTATTCAACCTTGAAACTCAAAATAGTACCATGTGTTTGATATTTGACCTTATTTGTGAGATAGTTTGCCCTTGTTTCACCGAATTTCGATGAAGTTTTCAGTTACATGTTGACAGTTTCCTGTACTTTTAGTTACAACACATCTTCTTATCGACTATAGTTAAAACATGTATCGTTCTTAAATGGATCAAATTACAACTGACAAAAACAAATTATTTCATTTCATGATTTTTTCTTTGTAACCGGCGGATAACGTCTGGAAGTAAACATACAAATGTGATTGAAAATTTGACTGATGTATTTTCCCATGCTGTTAACATATTTCTTTATTGTCGTATGTATTACTGTACTTTTTATCTCCTCTCTAGAAAATAACGAACCGATTACAAATGAGAATTCAAGAGATACCAGGAGATAGATATTTCTACCATTAAAGAGGAGACATAATTCTTACACTGACTCATACTACTGATGTACATCCCAATTTAATTACACTGGTTTTGTTTCCTCTTGCTTTAGGAATTAGAAAATATACTGAATTTAACACTATCATAATATCAGATTTCACGTGTGAGTAATGTACACCTGTATCGTTTATATAATATTGGACCCTTATTTTTGCTCTATTACGGTGGCCCATAATGGTCACGTTGTGTTCTAATATGACATTTGTGTTTATTTGTCTCTTTGATTCTGACTTACTCAATACTTTTGTTTGAAAGATTACAATTTAAGAATTTTCAGTTTTACAAAATAAATAACAATGGCTATTAAATCCGAACTCATTATCACCTCTTTTACGTCTCATCCCAATCTACGCTGTACAACTCCTTTATTCTTATATTTAAGCATTTTTCACCCACGAATGTCGTTATATTTTCAGTCTTTTCAGAAGTTCCACAAGTCACTCGCGAATTCAGGACATGCCAATAGTCTGGTCCGTGTCATGCGCCTATCACTTGTCTAGTATAAGTTACTCGTCGGGTTATAAAAATACAGACCTGACAAGTTAATCAGAGGTCTGAAAGCTCTGCGTGAAACACGATCACACCACTTAAAATCACAATAATTGTAGACCGACTAGCTTCGGACCCGAATACTTAATAGTTATTATAATATGATTCCAATAAAGGAGTCTTACACAGGATAAAGGTGGGACTCGAAATAGACACAGTGATGATCAAGAGAATAGATCAGCGAACCGGATTGATGTTAATGCGGTACGGCTATCCCGTGGGTTTCTTTGTAGTATTTCTGTGTATATATAAATCATTCATTAGCGATCAAATGTGATTACTTCCTTTATCTATACTTCAGTTTGAATAATGTTCATGACTTTAGAAACTTCAAAAATTCCCTAACTATAGTGTATGTCATATAAAAAACATTATCCAAATGATATTTTCCATGCATGTCGCGTTTTACATTTGGCGACATCGGTGGAAGGGAGACAACTCGTACAGGCAACATCACCCACGCCTTACAAAAATACATAAGCTCTGCTGGGTGCTGGGGGATTTAAAATGTAGAATGTAAAAAGGGAACAAAATGTCCTATACGTAATTAAAGAAAACTACAACATATGGCGTCATCTAAGTAGCCATTATTGTAAGTTTTCAAACAACAAATGTGTAAAGATTAATAATAACGTACAACTTAAGTTGCCGTCTATCTCTTCCACTTTTTTGCTTTTGAACAGTTGTCTTCTGAATTCAACACATTGACATAACCTTATACGATAAGCAGTGCTCGGGACTACCTTTTTAAAATCGTCGAGATTGCATGTCACAGACTCACCTGGTGTACTTCAGTCCTCAAGATTTGAACTAAGTCATCTTGCAAGTAACGTTTGAGTTGCATATTGAAAACACATTTTTTTATGAACGTTGCCTTCACATTACACTAACTATTGGAAGGTAGCGTAATGTGATGGCTATGGTTATTACAATCACATTTTTATTTTTTGTCTGTCTTCGTTTTGAAGCCCAGTCTATTGCATTTAGATTTCCCGCCATACAAACAGGAAGTGTTTCTTGTTGACGCAACAAGTCTACGCATGTAGTAACAAATGGCGTGCATAGTTTTTCCGGTCGGGATTGTTTACCTGAGAATTTAGAATTTTTCGATATTCCAACCAGGTAAGGCTGATTGAAGTCGATATATATATTCATCGGATTTAAAGAGATTATGCTCTCTGTATACTGAAAGGTTTATTTATTTTTTGAAATGTATAGAACGAAATATAACTGCACAAATGTAATGTAAAGAAAGTGTCAGGATACCCTTCGGTTGTACGGGCAGAAATACTGCAGTACGGTTAAAACATCGAATACAAACGGGTCTTTCTTTAGAGTATCTAATAGGCTAAATGGCCGTTAGGTATTATTTCACGATATAAAAGGAAAGGTCTCTGGTTTTGAGCCAGAGTTTTTTTTTGTATGTGTGCTTCATTGTCGCATCGTCAAGGTAAACAGCTTGTTTTCGCTTGTTATTTTTTGTCAGATCATGACAAGATAATTCATAGTGAGCATTGTTACCGCCGGTTTACAACAGTAATTGTATTTGTAAATGTCAGAACCACGGCAACAGGATCGATCACCAGATGCGTACCTAAATGACAAGGGACTGCTGTCCCTCCTCCTTCCTTCAATGAAAAAACAATACAAAACAAAAAGAAACATTTAGATGACTAATTGATTAGAACAGTTATACCTGATTTTGAATATGTTATAGAAATTGTTACGGAAAATGTCCTGCCCTTGGCCTTGGCTGTTTTGGACTACACCAGACAATACTAACATTATCATTTAGCTGTATCCAAATATCGTGGTCCCACATTAAAATATCGTCTTTTTCTTCATCAATTCAAGTGCAAACCATTTAAGTATTATCACACCTTGCATAGGGATGAAGGCAACAGTACCTGACTGAATTCTAACACGCATAGTTGATGATTAACAGGATACTTTTGATGACAGCCAGCAGCCAGTAGTTGGCAGTTGACTTTTACTGTGAAAACTGCTTCTTAGTTTATAAAACAGTTTTGTGACAAAGGACCAAACAATTTATTTATGTATATCATTACACATATATTGTTAATAAGCTGTGTGTTTTATGTTTGCAGCAGCCTTAGCTCAACCAACTACCATGTCTCGACGTCCAAGTAGAGCCTCCATAACAGATGGGGACTTTATCCTTGACTGTAAGGCTGCCTATTCAGAGGTGATGGATGATGTCAGAAAAAAAATCACAAGCAAGTCTCTTCTCCTTCAAGGTACAGAACAGATTGGTTGCTACTGTAGTTTGTCCTCACTTTTCTGATACAGATGTGGAAACATCACAGCACAAGATATCTATTTATTTAATTATTTCAGATACTTTATACCAAACATTCACTGTACAGTGTTGCACATCCATTGAATCCAAGCACATGTTTAAATATGAAGAATTCATTTCAGAATCTATTAATTACAATTATACTATCCATACTAACTCTAAATGAATACTAGTGCTATATTTAAGATAAATAATTCTAATACCAATCATTAGAGTAAAAAGTTTGGGGAATTTCAGTCTACATTTTACATTTACGTTGGTTTGTTATAGTAACCAATTCTGGCATGACACAATGGGAGAGAGAGAGAAATCTATTACTTATCTTGGGGTTGGTTCTTTCAAAGGACTGGTATAAATCCCTCTACACTTTCTGTACACTGTCATCCAGTTCGAGGAAATAATAAGGGAATATATCATTTATGAAACAATTAACTTAATACAGTCTATGAATTGTTATTATTGCTTATGTAAATAGGTAAATGATTGTACTTTTTGATTTCAGCTTTACAAGAAAGCGGTAGAAATCCATCTGAACGTGTGTTAAAAAAATACTGGAATTCTGAAACTGGTAAGTTCAGTCAAAGTATTCAAATGCTTTACAGCTTTACTTCAATTTCTGAATTTCTAAAATTGAAAGTCTGGAAAAAATGAAATTTAGATTATGTTACTTTAAATATATATGTACATTTTTTGCTAAATACCTCTTCAAGAAAAACAAACACTAAATATTTTTCATCATGTTTTTGTTTTTTGAGGCCTCAAAACAAGAAATCAGAATATAACAGACACATTTAGTTCACATTTAAGACACTTGTATTCAAATAAGAAGTTTGACAAATCATTAGAACTGGATAGTGTGTAAAAGTTTGTCAGCACATGGTTCTTCAATTTTCTTGACCACAGACAGCATGTACAACTAGTAATTGTCCTTAAAATTGAATCTAGCAGTGAATATTCTTTTTTGGTCTAATTTTTTTCAGAGAGTCTGTCATTTGATGATTTTGTTGATATCTGTCGAAAAGTGGTCATCACAAGTGAAGAGGAAATGATGAAAGCTTTCAAAAAGATTGACATAAATGGAGACGGTTTCCTTACCCTCGACGAACTCCGCAGAATTATGACCTCAGTGAGATTGATGTGCTATCCCGACAGTAGTTCAGATCCTTTCCGAGTTCTTCATTTCAGTTTTGCTTGAGAAAAAAATCTTAAGACCTCATAAAAATCTGTTTTTGTTAGCCGTCATATTAAGTTGTCTGTTTTAAGGTCACCTGAGACAAAGTCACATGGTTGACCTATTCTAATCACTTTCATCCAGCACTGTGCGTCCGTAAACAATTTAACATTTTTGACTTCTTTCTTCTCAAAAACCCCTGATTCAATTTCAATTAAATTTTGCAGGAACCTTTCCTGGCTTAAGATGAAAAAAAATTTTGAATTATACAGTCCCCATCCCCCAGGGGCCTGAGGGGCAGGGCCAAAAGGGGTCAAATTGACTCAGGTTTCAAAAATCTTCTCCCAGATATGGTAGAATCAAATACTCTTCATGAATGGAAGCATCTTAGGGTACTTTACCAAAATTGTAAATTTCATGGTCCAATATTCTCACATTTCCCTGTGGGGTTAAGGTTACCATTGTTTATATAGAAAAACTAGATTTTTAAACATAATTTGTTTTATTTCCATTGAAAATATTTCAAACCTGATTAGAATTATGAGTGAAGGATGATGGCTTGATGATATGCCCATTTTGATCCTGACTGACCCCCAGGGGCTGATGGGCGGGGCCAAAAGGGGTCAAGTTGCATTTGTTAGCTTAACATTGGTTGGAAATAACTTTATAAGTATTAACAATATACAATGACTGTTTTGATGGTATGCATGTATTGACACTGGTTTACTATATTCAGTGTCATAATTTCTGTTTCATGACATTTGATAACTATAAAATAAAATTGCATCCCTTTAGACAAAAGACTTTGATATTCAGTATATAATACCTTAGAATTCTTAGACTCAGGTTGTGAACTTTCTTTCTATCATTTCCTTTAAATTCATAAGAGTGTGTAAGATTGTGTGATTGCATTTATGATAAAACTAAAGTTTATATATACATATGTTTGAAAGAAAGACGAAGGAGAATGAATTTCACCATGTTTCTGTTTTATGATATAAAGGAATAGATTCGTAAATTCTGAAAGAAAAAAACAATATTGTTATTCTAGAGGAAGAAGATATTTTAGAACCAACATAGTATAAAAGATATCATGCCCTGTTACAGAATGGAGAAAAGATGACAAGACAAGAGGTACAAGAAATAATAGATGAGGTTGATGAAAATGGTGACGGTAAACTGGATTTTAAGGAGGTTTGTATTCACAACTTTGTAGTTTTATTCTGAATTTTGAAACCAATCTCTGTTGTCAGTTGCAATGTAGAGAAACAGTCTACAGGAGAAATGTCACATTAGTTGATGATCCTAAAAAAAATCTTATAAGACAATGTAGTTGTTCATCATTGTAAGGAAATGTGTTAAGATATTGACATAGAACATAAGGATTAATAATTAACATAATATCTACATTAGCAAACTTCCTAACAAACAATTTTATAATAAAAGCTTCATAATCGGCTTTAATCAGTTTCAATATACATTAACTATAACTGATTTCAGTTCTTTTTGCTTCAATTTTCTTATTGAATTTATCTTTCATAAATGAATCTTAGATGATGAAGGTATCTTATGCATCTCCATTATTTGTTACTAAGTACAGATAGTTGTATTCTCTATATTTATTGACACCAATATGGCCGTATGTATTTATGTTATAGAGGAAATTTTACTATGAACAGGTAAAGTCTACTGTGTTGATTATCACCCCACATATTATGGCCTGATTCCCTGGTTAGAGAAATATGCATCTCATTTGTTACATTGGTATTCAGCTTTATTCATTGTGGAATGTTCTACAAGTACTGGACACAAGTCTATCTTCCAAAAATCTGTACCTGGTATTGCATGAGCAAAAAGAAAGTGATTCATTAATGTCATCTACAGATATTAATACAAGCTCTTAGCTAAACTTTGGAAAAGTATGCACTGCCCCGATATATATTTATGTGCCATTAACCAATTAGACAATTTCATTCATACGGTACAAATTTTGGTCCTCTCTGACTTGTGGATCAGTACTTGTGTCCAATTTTGTTCACCAGGCTTTGTTTATATGTTAATGATGAGGAAAAGGCAGCAAGCTCCAATGCATGTGTTATTTCAGCTGATGGAAAATTCTACAAAATATACTTTAAAATATTCTTATAAAACACAAATTCACACAGATATTGATGCCAACTTTCACCTTCCTGATGATATCTGTTCAGATTTTGGATGTAGTTGTTTGTTTTCGTCATTTAACTGTAACAGTCAGTACAATTAATCAACATGCATGCCATGTTTTAATTCACTGGAATAGTGCCACAGTTCAGAAATTGCACAGGTACTGGGATGTTCTTGTGAAATTATCAGATATATGAAAATTATGAAATTTATTGAATGAAATGCACGTCCCCAGTCCCCATCTAGATTTTAATATTTCTTTTGTTGGATTTTTTTCCCACAGTCACCCCATAGGTTTCAAAATTTAAGCCCCTAGCATCACAGATGAGTCCTAGAAGGACAAACAGCTGTACGATACATTTTAATACTCTAAATTAGGATTGAAAGATTGTGTGCCTTTAGAACAATATTCAGTAATTAAATCTTAGATAAAGAGAGTTTTCACATTATAAGTTTTATTTTGAATCACTCAAACTGCATTCAGGTACATTATTTATGAAATCATAATGTTGTATTTAGTGACAACTGTCACGCTGTTCTGTTACAGCAGTGGTATTGTAGACTGTTCTGTTACAGCACTGGTATTGTAGTCTGTTCTGATACAGCAGTGGTATTGTAGTCTGTTCTGTTACAACACTGGTATTGTAGTCTGTTCTGTTACAGCACTGGTATTGTAGTCTGGTCTGTTACAGCACTGGTATTGTAGACTGTTCTGTTACAGCACTGGTATTGTAGTCTGTTCTGATACAGCAGTGGTATTGTAGACTGTTCTGTTACAGCAGTGGTATTGTAGTCTATTCTGATACAGCACTGGTATTGTAGTCTATTCTGTTACAGCAGTGGTATTGTAGTCTATTCTGATACAGCAGTGGTATTGTAGTCTGTTCTGTTACAGAAGTGGTATTGTAGTCTGTTCTGTTACAGAAGTGGTATTGTAGTCTGATCTGTTACAGCAGTGATATTGTAGTCTGTTCTGTTACAGCACTGGTATTGTAGACTGTTCTGTTACAGCAGTGGTATTGTGGCCTGGTCTGATACAGCAGTGGTATTGTAGTCTGTTCTGTTACAGCAGTGGTATTGTAGTCTATTCTGTTATGGCAGTGATATTGTAGTCTATTCTGTTACAGCAGAAGTATTGTAGTCTATTCTGATACAGCAGTGGTATTGTAGTCTATTCTGTTACAGCAGTGGTATTGTAGTCTGTTCTGTTACAGCAGTGTTATTGTAGTCTATTCTGTTACAGCAGTGGTATTGTGGCCTGGTCTGATACAGCAGTGGTATTGTAGTCTGTTCTGTTACAGCAGTGGTATTGTAGTCTATTCTGATACAGCAGTGGTATTGTAGTCTATTCTGTTACGGCAGTGATATTGTAGTCTATTCTGTTACAGCAGTGGTATTGTAGTCTATTCTGATACAGCAGTGGTATTGTAGTCTGTTCTGTTACAGCAGTGGTATTGTAGTCTATTCTGATACAGCAGTGGTATTGTGGCCTGGTCTGATACAGCAATGGTATTGTAGTCTGGTCTGTTACAGCACTGGTATTGTAGACTGTTCTGTTACAGAAGTGGTATTGTAGTCTGTTCTGATACAGCAGTGGTATTGTAGTCTATTCTGATACAGCAGTGGTATTGTGGCCTGGTCTGATACAGCAGTGGTATTGTAGTCTGTTCTGTTACAGCACTGGTATTGTAGACTGTTCTGTTACAGAAGTAGTATTGTAGACTGTTCTGATACAGCAGTGGTATTGTAGACTGTTCTGTTACAGCAGTGGTATTATAGTCTATTCTGATACAGCAGTGGTATTGTGGCCTGGTCTGATACAGCAGTGGTATTGTAGTCTGTTCTGTTACAGAAGTGGTATTGTAGTCTGTTCTGTTACAGAAGTGGTAGCGTTTTAAGGTCTGATATGTTTTGTGTCTAAATGGCTGTAATTTAATGATTGGTCAAAATCACATATTAATTAAATATGCCAGTCAGAAAGCTCATAAGTAGCTATATTTAGGAAAATTTCTTCAGGTTAGTAATGTAAATAGAATAGAAATTTTTATAACCCAACCTGTAGAAGATTCGAGTTTCAATGACTAAATGGTCACCTTCATCAGACAAATGACCACAGAGGTGTGTCTTAGCACTGACATTCAAAGTGCATGAGATGGTAAGGAAATAAAAAAAACTTTTTCGGTAGTACCATAAAGTGTGACAAGATGGTAAACAGATTATAGACCAAAAATACACAGGATGGTAGCACTGTACTGTAGTCAAATTGGCTATGCTTTGTTTAACACTTTGTCATAGATGTGCAAGAATGTGGCCATAGACCCTAGTCCATATGTATATGCAAAATTGGATGCAGGAACTGTGATGCATGGTATATTGTAGAAACTGGCAGGGGATATGGGGTTCAACTTAATGAACATCAGAGAGAACCGAAATCCCAAGAAGGCACAAAATTCACTAGATCAGAGTGAAAACATTATCAGTCCTAGATCAATAAATTGGCACTTACCGATCATTCCATATAGCAAAGTCATATTATTGGCTGGGAAAATTTCAGAAAAGTTCACAGGGAAATCATACTTACAGGCAGCTGGTTAAGGAAGCCATCTGGATATGTCACAGCAGATGAAAAATGGATGAGAGGAGCTACACACTGTCGCACATCTATATGGCCAAGTGTTGAACAAAGTGTAGCCGAACAGTACATTGTTACCATCTTGTGTATCTAGTCTATAATATGTATACCATCTCCTCACACTCTTATCTAAAAAAGATTCCTAACCATCCTATGCACTACCAGGTATATATCTCAGTGTTAGTATGTTCCACAATGGTCATTTGTCTGATGAAGGTGACTGTGTAGTCATTGAAATGCCACAATGTAATCTTCTACTGTATTTGTATTAAAGGAAATTCTATTCTGTCATAGGAAAAAATGAAAATGTTTTCATGCATGATATAATAATGGTTTTTGAACACCCAATTTTCAGTTTGATACCTTATATTAATTAGACAATAATTTGAGAAAAAAAATTAGTTATGCGGAATTTTATAAGTCAATTTTGTACTTTGTTAACTTTAAAATGAGTTGACAGTAAGGACTAGATAGTGTGTTGTTAGTATGTTATAACTAGTGTCAGGACATGGCGTAGGATGTTATAAGTGAGATATTCTTTAGAATCACAATTGAAAACCGTCCAATTATCTTTGGACCACTGTCTTAAACAAAGACACTTCAGCAGATGCCAGGGGAAAATACTCATTTTAACATAAATATTATCATAAACATTAATGGCATTGTGTGCCCTGTTGATTTAATTCCAGAATAGAAAGAAAAAAAATTACAACTCGTATATGATGTGGAAACTTGGCACAAGCTCTTGTTTATTTTAACCTTGACCTAGTATTGATGAGATAAATCTGTAATACAATGTATCTATAGTCACCTGTATATATCCTGCTTACATATACTGTAGCATGTGGTTGGTTCCTGCTGTTCCTCAAGGCTGAAAGCTTGGCATATACTGTGACATGCTGATCTAGGCTAGATGTGATTATTACAGCTAAAATGATACTATAGTATCTTATACAGCCTTATAAAGGGATTAAAACGTAGTACAAGTGCATCCTGTACATGGTGACATTTAGACAGATCCTGGATTATTTCAACCATTACCGTTTGATAAGTGTTAAAACAAAAAGATATACACACATATATAGAAATCAAATGTTGACCTAAAAAGATAATGGAAAGTCTTGAATTTTTGTTGAGTTAACTTTTTGTAAGTTTTTTTGTAAACCATTTCACTGAAATTTAATTTTGTAGATAAATATAGTTCAATAAAACTTCTTACACAAATTTTAAAAGTTCATGGACATGAATTTGTGGATTTAAGGTACATACAAAATCAATGAAAGTACCTTTCCAATCCCCAACCCTAACCCCAAGAAAATGAATAAAGGATGGTATCAACTAGACAGAACAGACATCTTAATGTAAGAAGATAAATATGTGATAATAATTTTATCTCGGACAATGTTATTGGATGGCCTGCACACTGTCTACACTGCGTCAGCACATCTTCACACTTAGTCTATGACAATGTCCTATCAGCAACATTCACAATAAAGATCATGATGATGAGATATATCAGAACATTTGAATTCTTATATAAAGAAAAACTGAACTGTACCAGAATTTGTTTGTCTCTTACATGCTCTATTACAGTGGTTTTGGTCACCAAAATATATTTCCATTGTTTTCATGTCATAATTCCATGTGGAAGTCCCAAACTTATCATGAGTGACATGCCCTCTTTCAACTGGTTTTCCCTCACTGGGGGACATGACCACATGCCTGGTTGTTGTTCACTGAGGGACATAGCCTCATACATCTGGTAGGCCCTCACTGGTTGATGTGACCTCATACATCTGGTTGTTGTTTGCTGAGGGACATGAACTATTACATCTTGTTGTTGCTCAGTGGGGGTCATGACCTCATACATCTGGTTGTTGTTCACTGAGGGACATGACCTTCTACAACTGGTAGTCCCTCACTGAGGGACATGACCTTCTACAACTGGTATTCCCTCATTGAGGGACATGACCTCCTACAACTGATAGTCCCTCATTAGGGACATGACCTCCTACAACTGATAGTCCCTCATTGAGGGACATATGAACTTGTACACCAGCAATACTGCTGTGTTTACATGAGCACTGACATATAGATCACTGCATGACATTAAATGGAAAGAAGAAAAAAGTTATGCTTGATATATTACTGATATGGAGCATGTTTTGAAATCACGTATATTTTGAAACTCAGTTTTAACAACTAGATAACAGTTAGTTTGTGATTAAAACTTGATGTGATGGCGTTTCTGCAGGTTTGACTTGACCTTATGGTTGGTAGGGGATCTTAAAAATTTGTCAGATCTCTAAAAGCAAGACCAGATCATATTAAAGTTGATTGTCACCTTACATATCACATATAACTTACTGATATTTTTCTCAATCTTTGAAAAATGTGAGTGTCCAGCTGATCAGGAGGCTGGCAGTATTGTGTATCTAGACTAGCCAACTATGGTTCAGTTTATTGTCTCCCTGTGTTATTGAAATGTATTATACAATATTCAGAAGTGTTACAAAGATTTTGCATACCTAGTTTTGGCAAAAAGTCCAAATCCACTGATCAGATCCATGGTTTATGTTACAAAGTTATAATACCTAGAGTATTTTTATATGTTAATCATTTTCAGACAAAAGTAATGTGTCTCAGCTGATTCAGACTTAAGTTGAGTATGGTGATGATGAGGATAGCAATGATGACAGGACTGTGTGTTGTGTTGATGTATGTGATGTGCATGACAATATGATGTGTATGACAATGTGTATATGTATTGTTTTATTGTGTAGTGAACAAGCATTCTGCAATAAACAGGAAAAAGAATGGATTATTTCATGAAATTCTCATCTCAATATATTATTTAATATTCTGTTGTTATATAGAAAATAAAGGTGACGGATATTGTCACCTAAAAGATGAAAATAAAATTGTTAAATATTTATAAAGACGTAGGATTTTTACTTTTACTTCATGTCATTTCAGTTCTGCAATATGAATAAAAATACAGCAGACCAGCTTCGACAACAAAACCGAAAACGCCTAGAAAGGAAAGAAAGAGATCGGAAAAGCAAGAAAACTGAAAGTTTCTCCGACTCAAAGAGAGGTAAATTCACAATTTAGATGACATGTTCAATTTTTTTCATTGGAAAATGAATGCTGTCTTTTTCAGTGTCATTTTTGATGCTGCACAAATGTAGGTATAGTAGCAAGGATAGAGAAATGGCTTTTGTAAGTATTATCATGGTAAACTTGAATAGAGAAAAAAGATGCACACAAAGATTATTTAAATAGACTATTTTATTTCATTCCTTAATAAAAGGACACAAATCCTTTTTTTTTTTTTTTTGAGTGGGGGAGGGGGTTGGTTATGGGATTACCTAGACATGTATATGATGTAACCTGCCATATGTTTGGTTTGGCTTATATTCTTAGATATATAAGTGTAATATTCATATGTCTTTTTTTTAAGATTTTGTTTATGTTTCACAGGCGATATTGTTGACTATAAATATATGTTGTATTCCCTGTCTCATTTATTCTGTTATCTGTAGGTTAGACTATTTGCCTATGAAATACATATGTACTTTGTTTATACCTGTTGATTTTGTTTTAACTATTACAGGCTACCAGCATTGAATTCCATCCCCCATTTCTGTACACAATATTTATCTTTTGTATTGTAACACCTTGTCTTTTGCAATATTAAATTCCACTGTTGAAAAGTATTACTTTGACAGCAAAATACCTTAGTGGATCTTCTCTTGGCTGCTCAACACCTGAAATGCTTCTAAATAGTCTTACCTGTACAGGTGATATAAGTTAAATTGATTTTCTCAGGTGACGTTGCCTCTATGGGCTCACAGATATCCATGAAATCAAATTCATCACAACGCAGTAAGCTATATATCTCATACATTACCAAACACTGTGTTCCAAATTGGTTTGCAGTTCTAAACAGTATATACTCCGGTTTGCTTTCCATTCCCAACACCACCTTGCATTTTTTTTTCAAAAATATATATTATAGATAGTTTGCTAATCCATCCTACCTGGAGCACCTTTTTGACTGACCCACCAGTTTATACTTAATGTGTGAAACTTTATAACCTTAGCTAAACTATATAATTATGCCTTGTGCACATATTTTGTATCATTGCAATAAAACTTTCATTGCTATGAATTTTCTAGGTTCCTGAACAAAGACCGACAAAACAATTGTTCAGAATTTATATATGTATACAGTTAAAATTATGATTACAAAGTTTAAATCAAATCTGTTAAGTTTGGTTTTCTAAGTCAAGACGATAACTTTCCTACCTAGTTAAAAACAATTTGTTTACCTTTTGTATCGCTAACCTGATAGTAGCTGTGCTGCTCCCTTAATTGTCATTTGAACAACTTGAGATAATTGTTATGCTTGTGCTTTGAAAATGCTGGAAATGTTGTAATGTTATTCGTGCCACATACAGGAAAAATCATCTGTATTTATTAATTTTTATTTATTCATTTAACACCCTAAGAACTTAACATTTTATTCTATGACTGACAAGATGCTCCCCACTGTCCCCATGGTATGTCAGTTATCCTTTTCTCTAGATTATGTAGATTAATCTATTGATTTAATCTTTTACTCAAGGTTGATGTAAAATATACTGTTATCATTGGCACAATATTAAAATTACTGAAGTTGATAATTTGAATTTGTGTAATACTACACAGATCTAGAACAAAAATCAAATTGGAACATCACTATCACTTCATCATTATTATCATCGGTCCTATACAAACCAGCATGATGTATCATCACATCACACTAAGGACAAATGGCAAAACGGTTCAAAAATAAACACTGAAGATGCATGCAAGAGGAGATCAAATATCACTGTTTACACACTTTATTATCAGAAATGAACAGGTATAAGTGTCACAGAACATTTGTCTCAGTAGTGGGTTACTTACAATGGTGTTTCTACGTTGTTGAGGGTCTGCATGTGGTACAAAATTGTCAAGTTACATGTATTATATTGTCGATTCAACCAACTACTGATCTAGTTTTTCTATCATGATAAACAAGCATTGATGGGAGGTTTCTATTTCAGTGTCCTTCTCTTTATTCTTCACTAGCATTCTGGCTCCTACACATATATAGATTTGTGTATGTACTTCAAGTTTTACTTTGTTGCCAAATATTTCATCTTAATGCTTCAGAAATAGATGTCACATGCATATTGTATTTCAATCCCTATTTATATAAATGCTGTTGACTTCATATCGGTATTTTAAAGTGGTAGTTAATAACTCAATAAGCCAAAAGACTATACACATACAGGTCATTTTGTAGACATTCAAGGGGAGATAACTAGGAAATAATTCGTAATTTCCATGATCTATGTCTAACATTTCCAAAAAGTCAATGTTAGTACATATGTATATGTAAGTAAGAAATTTTGGTTCAGTGTGGTTATTGATATATCAGCATCAACTGATGACTTCAAGTTTCAGCTTCCTCTGTGTCTGATATCTCTATACAGATGGATGATACAGCACAGCTCATCATCCACTATCTAGATATTCAGTTATTTCAGTTTTGTTAAAACAGTATAATGAGTTTACTACATTTTATTAGTACAAATGTAATTCACTCATTTTAGACAGGATGGAAGTAAAAATCCTATGGAGTTGTTTTCTCACCAAAAAGTAAAATTTGTCATTTTACTTATGTGTACATATATTTCATAGACATGCTACATAATATGTTTGGTGTCAAAGCTGCAGTGTTTATTACATGTTAATGATGATGTTCTCTGGTCAAGCTTTCAGTGACCGGCCGATGTCTTCTAGGTCCAGCAAATCTACATCTTCTCAGAGATGTAAGGTCAATGCTTTTTTTTGGCATGCCTCTGGTCAAATGTTTATCACTGGACACCACTGATCAAATGTTTATCACTGGGCACCACTGGTCAAATGTTTATCACTGGACACCACTGGTCAAATGTTTATCACTGGACACCACTGATCAAATGTTTTTCACTGGATTCCACTTGTCAAATGTTTATCACTGGACACCACTGGTCAAACGTTTATCACTGGACACCACTGGTCAAATGTTTATCACTGGACACCACTGATCAAATGTTTATCACTGGACACCACTGGTCAAATGTTTATCACTGGACACCACTGATCAAATGTTTATCACTGGACACCACTGATCAAATGTTTATCACTGAACACCACTGATCAAATGTTTATCACTGGACACCACTGGTCAAATGTTTATCACTAGACACCACTTGTCAAATGTTTATCACTGGACACCACTGGTCAAATGTTTATCACTGGACACCACTGGTCAAATGTTTATCACTAGACACCACTGATCAAATGTTTATCACTGAACACCACTGGTCAAATGCTTGCAACTGGACACCACTGGTCAAATGTTTATCACTAGACACCACTGGTCAAATGCTTGCAACTGGACTCCACTGGTCTAATGCTTGCTACTGGACACTGTATTCAAATGCTTGCTACTGGACACCATATTCAAATGCTTGCTACTGGACACCACTGATCAAATGCTTACTAGAGGAAATCACTGGTCAAATGCTTGCTACTTGACACCACTGGTCAAATGCTTGTCACTGGGTATCATTGAACAAATGCTGGCCATGCATTGGACACCACTGGTCAAACGCTTACCAATAGCAACCAATAGTCAAATGCTTGTTACTGACATCACTACTCATATACTTGTTCCTGGATACCAGTGGTCAAATACTTGCCACTGGTAATGTGATGTTTTTATGGTCACTGACCACCATCCTAATTTGTTTATTTTAGTGGGATAAACATAGACTACATTTCTAGACCTAAACTTTTAGTCATGCCCAAGTGTATAGCAGTTTATTACATACCAGTCGCCAATGTAATCATGTATTCATTCTTATGTTAAGTTTGTGGCATGTTCAGGTGGATGGCCAATTTGGGTATTTATGTGAATACTGCAAGAAATTCAACATTTAAATTGGTATCACTTGATTTTAAATGCAGGATTTCAAACTTATACTAGACTATTGTCTACATCTGGAAGTTGAGTATTGTTTGAATATTGTTATGGTTAATTAATCTAAATTCTATAAATAAGTATTTATGAAATATTGGATATCTCATTGAATGTTGAAAAATTACTAATTTCTCTGTCTAGTGGTTTGCTGTAATATCAAATTTCAATATTCAATATGTGTATGTTTAATTAAACAAATAACCAATACAGATGTATCTGTATTGAAACACTCACTTAAATTATCAAGTTCACTGGAGTATAAGATGAAGGTGCTCACTCATCTGTTAAATTACAATATTCACTGGAGTGTTGAATTTTCATATTCACTCAGCTATTGCGTAAGAATATTCACTGGAACTTTCAAATACAAATATTCACTCTGTTGTTGAGTTGAAATATTCACTTATGTTTTGAATATGGGTATTCACTCAATTACAGAGTGACAATATTCACTGGAGCTGTAAATATTGGTATTCATGCATATGTCATATTCACTAGAATGTTGAATATAGAAAACCTCTTTACTATTGAGATTTTATTTTGACTTGAATGTTATTTCATCCCTCTGGGATTTCTCTTTTTCTTTACTTTCAAAAAAGTGAACACACTTTATTTTATGCTGTTATAATGTGTAACTTGTTTGTTTTAATGAATATAAGATATAGAAAGGTTATGACCTAATTTTATTTATTATATATAAATAGACGTGCCTTTATTCTAGCATCGAGGAAAACGATGGGATCATCTGCGTCCATTAAATCTGAAATTTCTCTAGAGGATGGAGGAAGTAAGGAAAATTTTCTTCTTGAGAAATAGACATCAATAGCATATCTCTTGTTACTTAGCGGAAATAGGAGTACATTTGGAATCTATTGTTGGTTATTGTAAATATAGGAGTACATGTGGAATCTCTTGTTAGTTAGTGTAAATATAGGAGTACATGTGGAATCTCTTGTTAGTTAGTGTAAACATAGGAGTACATGTGGAATCTCTTGTTGGTTATTATAAACACAGGAGTACATGTGGAATCTCTTGTTAGTTAGTGTAAACATAGGAGTACATGTGGAATCTCTAGTTAGTGTAAATATAGGAGTACATGTTGAGTCTTTTGTTAGTTAGTGTAAATATAGGAGTACATGTAGAATTTCTTGGTAGTTAGTGTAAATATAAGAGTTATTGTGAAATGTTTTTTGCTATAAATGTAAGAGTACAAATGTGTGAAGATCACTTATTATTTATAAAGTATATATACCACGGGACGGTGGGATTTACAAGCAGGTGATCATCATTTCTGTGTAGTGGGGATTATTTATGTCTGGAAGGGAGATGATCATAATTTCTATGTGAGAAGAAAAGGACCATAATCTAAGTGGATTTTAAGGGAAAAAGATTATCATAATTTCTGATCAGATGGAAGCTGTCTTATGGATGATTTCTCTAGGAATGAAAAAAGATAATAAAGTTTGTGTTAGAGTCAGAGACAATCACAATTTCTGTGGATTTGAGGAATGATTATAATTTCTTTGAGGGTGAGGGGTGATTATAATTTCTTTGAGGGCGAGGGGTGATCATAATTTCTTTGAGGGTGAGGGGTGATCATAATTTCTTTGAGGGCGAGGGGTGATCATAATTTCTTTGAGGGCGAGGGGTGATCATAATTTCTTTGAGGGCGAGGGGTGATCATAATTTCTTTGAGGGTGAGGGGTGATCATAATTTCTTTGAGGGCGAGGGGTGATCATAATTTCTTTGAGGGCGAGGGGTGATCATAATTTCTTTGAGGGTGAGGGGTGATCATAATTTCTTTGAGGGTGAGGGATGATCATAATTTCTGTTGGGGGGAGGGGGGTATGATCTCTGATGATGTAGAAAATTATGTTCTGTATGTTTGGGGGATCATTATAATGTCTGTTTGATTTAATGTTAATTCTAAAGTGTCCCCTTTCAAGAAATGTTGGCAAATAAATGTGGAACTTTACGCTATCCTCTTCAGCATCCACTAGCAAAATGATGGGGTCATGTTCTTCCATACGGTCAGATTCCACCCTGAAGGCATCAGAACGTAAGAGGTTAACAGTATTATGCTTCACAGCTTGTGATGTCACCTGGTTTGCTGGTGTAAGATGAAAAGCACTGAATCAGCCTGCTTGTGTCATGATCATATACATAGCTTTTCAAAGTCTTGATATTTCATTCCATTTCAGTAGAGTATTTAGCGCAGACTACAAATATCATCCTTACATATAATCATTTCCTGCATCATGGTTATGGAAATGCTGCAACTTGTTCTGTCCAATGTTTACATAGTTCTTTTTAAGATTTGTCACAAATAATGTCATGTCTTTGTTTACAGATTAAACGTCAAAGTAACTTGATATTGTATACTTTGCTGAAATAATCATTTTAGTTGCATATTTTGAAGGTATTTATGCCAACCATCGGGAAGCTGCCAAAATTAGTTTCTCTTTGGATTTGTTACTGTGCCAATTGTGCAATAACTGATTAAATGTGATATAAATGTAGATGTTTTAAAAAAAACTCTCACATAAAAGATCACATTGAACTGACTTTACTGAGAATGTGTTTTTAATTTCACTTTTATTTTATGGAGATCATTCTCTATATTACCACCTATACTATCACCTCACTCTGTGCTGTAGATAAGTCTGGTACTGTATAACAAATACCCAGGTATGTTATCTATAAATCACTTTACCTGTAATAGTATCATACTTTATTCTTGATTTCAGCTTAGGCTTTCTCAGCTTGACCTTGGCAAGTCCTATATTTAGATATACAATAATATTCTGTTCATTTGTACTGAAATCCATTGATTTCTTCTGCGTAGAACATTATAATGTGACCATGGATGAACAATTTTATTGCTTGGTTATAAGATCTTAGTGCTTGTCAAGTGATGTCACATGATTTTTTTTTTAAAAGACTTCAACCATTTGTCAGCAACTGTGTTGTTGACTAGCTGCCCTTTGAATACCTGTGAGATTTGACAGAAGAATATTTGAGACAACATAGGGATATGCACATAGGAGATATGAAATAGTTTCTGACTGTTTAGATTAAAAACACTGGAAAGTTTTCACTAGAAATTCTTTGTCTGAAGATGAAACACTGACTGAAGACTGGCTTTATGTGTAGAACAATAACCAACCTATCAAATTGCGTTTAGGCCTTAAGGTCTCAAGGTGTGATATTTTTTGTGTAATAATCTTCTATAATGTACCTTGCTCAATATAATACATGGTAATTTTCTGTCTACATGTCAATTTAAAGTCATTTGATATATGTATACCTTTTTATACTATCTGTGATAATTCATTTACAATTAGAGTAATTGTGTATAACACAACAACCTAACTTATGGAGAGTTGAAATGGAAGTATAAAATAAATCTGTATCACTTATTTATCGTCTCATTCTGCTGAAATGTTATACTGAAAGATGATGAGGAGGATATCATGGAGGAAATTCCGGAGGATTTAGAGGAAGATGACGACGATGATGACATTCAGACTACCATGACACCATCAGACGTCAGACGACACAGCATCAGATCCTCTGGGTCGTCTTTCAAACGCAGCACAGAATCTGAGTTGGGGTCAAAGACTTCATTAAGATCATCGAGGGGGTCATCTGCCTGTTCTTATAATACAAGGCGTAAGACGTTTGGCTTTTGAGATCACCCCACTGTTTCTGTTGTTGGCTGACCATGTTGTTTTTTTTCTGTTTGGAGAAATGATGTTTCTTTCCCTCGTTTACTTAGATTGTTTCAATGCTGCCTTGAACTCTTCGATCACCTGTGTTGTTCTACATGGTAATTTGTTTATGTACACAGAAATTGACCAATCATGCATGACACCGAGTTTTCACTGAAATAGCTGTTTGTCCAAAAGAAGATTGTTGTGAGATTTTGCTTTTTTGTTTAGCATTAACTGTTCTGGTGTTTTTTGTACTTCATTGTTAGTTACAGACAGAATAAGTTCAAAGTTGGAAGAAATTTTAAATGAAATTTTCAAGAAACTTCTTTGTATCAGACGTTGCAGAGGTGCTTTTATAAACAAAGATGTACTGATCTCCACTGACTACGATGACTTGTTGACCAGTTTATCTCTGTAAGTCTCTCCATGTTTGTTGTATCTCTATCGTACTTTCCTGTTTAAAGAAGGTCCTTCAGCAGAGGAGCAGTCTGAAGAAGCAGTAACAGACAATGTTACTGATTCTCCCAAAACAAAACAAGCAGTTAACAGATCCGCAGCCTCCATCAGGAAACCGTCAGAAATGGATACAGATCCCGGAAGCTCATTAATATCCCATCGTAAATCCACTGATGAGAACAAATCTTTGGTTTCTCCTCGCAAAACAGTCTGTGATGATATGAAACCAAATGGTCAGCAGGCTGGGACTGAACCATCTTCTTCCCTTCTCAAATCTGTCTCTGTTAGGTCTGGCTTCAAGGTTTCAGAATCTGGTAGGTCCAGTTCCAATATAGGGTCATCTGCTTCTCCCCGTAAGTCTGTCACTGAGGAGGTCACTACTAGGTCGTTTAAATCTGTTGATAAATCTATGACTGCTGATCAGAAATCAGATGTTCGATCAACAACTTCACTTCGCAAATCTCTGGAGGCAGAACTTGGATCTCAGGTCTCTGTTAAATCCAAGCAGGCAGAGAAACCAGTGTTCTACGCTCAATCAAGTAAGATGCTCTGTGTTTTTTGTGTACGCTGTGCAAGCTTTCCTGAAGGCCAGTCATCATGAAAGACCGCCTTTTTTGTTGCCTGCCAGAACCTTCTGTATATATTTCCCTCCAACTCCTCCCAACATGACAAGTGCTTTACATTCAAGCATTGATGATGTCCTTTTCCTTAATCCTGTGATTTAAACAATGATTTAGCTAAAATGCTGTCAGGAAATCTAGACATCACTGTTTGTACAATTACAAAACATTTTATCCAGATCTTTGCCTTTGATTATTTGTGCCAGAATTGAGATACCCATGTACTTCATTCTTTTTGTAAATACAATGCTTCACCAATACTGAAGAGATACATAATGTATCAAAATAGACTAATTGGAGACAGAATTGTTAATGGGTATAATCAGTGTGATATGTGGTTTGACACCAGTTGCATGTTTTTTCATTGTTTGATTAAAAGTATTCAGGTTCTGTTGGTGGATTGATCCTAAGTCTTCCTATTCACACTGAAGGTCACCATTGACGTGCATATTGTTGGATTTTGTGGAAGTTTTTGTTGCATGTTTTCCTGTCTTATGTCACGTGGTATAGATAGATATATTGATGAGTTTTAAGCTCCAGATCCACTGGTTAAACAACTGTGATTTAGATAAACTGTAGTATATATGTGTGTGAGTTGTACCTTTACAAATAACTTTGTGTAATCAAACTGACAATATCTCTGGTGATAATTTTCTTTATTGAGCCATTGATATTAAGATTACCAGTATATATATTGTTATACATTATTATATTTTAAGAGTGAAAATACTCAGTTATTTTGATATAAAACAGAAATAGTGTTTAGCTTTCATTCCTTTTGTACTTGTAGTGATTCTTCCCAAATAAGGAAGCGTCTTTTTGGTGCGCTTCTAAGTGTTTATTTGAAAGATAAGAAAGCAAGAGTGACTCTTTAAGTTTTTAGTCTGAAAGAATTCTTCAGAATCTGTCATTCGGTGTGTGCCATTATTATCATGCAGTTACAACTGGGCTACATATTACATGGTCCTGTTACACGACATATGCATTATCTGCCCTTGCCAAAAAAAAATAATTGAGTGGATAATCCAAGTTAAATTCTGAGACGAGCACAATAGGTTTACCTACGTAACTGAGGTATACTTTTCCCTTTGTTTGCTGGCTGCTGATGAAATAGACATTCTACATTTGAAATAGACAATACCTAATATGCTTTAGATGTGGATTTTTATGAATCTCTGCTAATCAGTGATAAGAACATGTGATCTTAAAGTCTGTTCAAGATTAAGTTATTTAATATGTATGACGGAAGGCATTAATCTGCTTTTTACTTTAGTAGGCATATTGCCTTTTGCATATTTAGATGATAAGGGCATGCTTTGCATTTTAGCTGAAATAATTGCATTCTATAAGATATGGTAATAGCAAAATTGTATGACAGTAATTCAAAATCACTTCTACTTATGTAATTATGGACACCGAGTCTTAAACAACTTTTAATAATCTTTAAAAATTTAATTTCTGATAAAGTTAGTACACTTTTATTAAATATCACACTGATGAATCCTTCAATGTTCTCATTACAAAAAACAAAGATTCAATGATAAAGGTAAAATACCTGTTGTCCTCTTGATATCGCACTATATTTAAATGACAATTCATTGGTAAGGAGAAAATACAGTGCTTCCTATATATATCTTTAAATATCTTATATATCAATATACAGTGTAAATACAGTGTATATATTAAATATAACACCGAATTAAATTCCCTATCAGAGAAATAGAAATACATTACTTCTACATAATATTAAGACCATGCAGTATCAATTTAAATCACTGATTCTAAAGAATATCAAAATTACAAAAATTACCACGTATCATTATAAACAATTTATCTAAAGAACAGATCATTTAGATAATATCTGAAAAGACTGAACGGAAGCCAAACATTGAAGTTATCATTGGTAAGATAATGTTTTCGTTTTTTAGCAGAAGTACATGTAATTAATTCATTTTATAATACCAAGAGAGGAAATGCAGACATAATATTTAAATAGTAATTTGGAGAAAAAAAATATTTCAATTTTTTCAATAATTCATACCTTACCACCTTTCATGAAAAGACAGGAAACATGATGATGATGAGGAGGCCGAGGAGGTAGAGGACGAGGAGGAAGAGGTTGTAATGACATCCTCGAGGAGAAGAAGTAGTGGCTCTAGGACAGACTTATCTTCATCATTTAAGTCTCGTCTAAAAAGCTCTGGTACTCAATTACATTAAAACTATCTGTAATCTGTTCACTCTAGATTCAGTGAATAAAAGTTCTTTTTCTTCTAAATTTTATGATAACTAAAATTATGTTTATAAAATTGATTTAAAAGTGCTAAGTAAACATGGTGTAAGGATACCGATATCAATGGATGATTGAATGAATCCCATAACTGAATTCATTTCATGAAGTTTTTTTTTTTACTTAAAATCATCTTATTCAATCAGGTGGGATATTTCCAATGATGATATGACTTTACAAACAAACAATTTTAGTCTGTATATTTATACAATAAAATTGTGTCTTAGGAAATACTAATGCTGTACACTATATGTCTTGTGATTCGCCATATTGTGTATTATATTGTTGCTTTCTTGAACAGGGGAGTTAATTCATGGTTCACATACGTCATTAAGATCAGGTACCTGTATATTTTTTCCTGTCACTAGATGTGAGAATAGGGTGCCATATTTCTTTTGGTGGTCTTCTCAATGCTTTGCTCTTTGACAAATAAAAGTACCTCTTTGTTGTTTTGACAAAAATTTATGCCACAGTTTTTTGTTACTTTCTGTTTGGTTGATGTTGTATGCAGTTGAATCAACCACGATATTTCACATTAACAAATTTCTGCACATTGTTCAATGTTATTGGTATGTTTGAGGTACTGAACAAGCTTTTTGCTAATATTACACTCATCAGATATACATGGTTATAGGATTCTTGTGTTTATTTCATCAGACTCAAGAAATCCTCCATTTTCAAGTTAATCCATGCTGAACATGCTTTTCTGCTTAAAAGAACAACTTTAGTATTATCATAGTAATGCTTTAAATATTAATGATTTTATATCCTGATTTTTAAAACTTAGATTTCAAAATTGATATGAGTATACATATATGTGATCCTTTCTTAAAGAACTTCAGCCGTCAATTTTGTTTTAGCAGCTTTAAGAATGGATTATGTCAGTCTTAGTAGTCAAATTATAAGACAGGGACTGTTGTCTCAAATTTTACATGCTGGTCTAGGGAATTACTTCAGTATGATATACAAAGTGAAATGTTTTTGTACGGGAAACAGTAACACAATATAAACATAGATATTAAAATGATTTAAGGTCACTAGGAACGACCTTGACATTATTTATCTTTAACCTTGGTCATAAAAATAGTTTGTATGGGCCATATTCTCTGTACCATATGACTTAGTCCTCTCAATGTCACACCATATGATACACCTTGAAATGGCAGTGTGTCAGCTGATAAAATTGGATTGATGTGACCTTGGATTTCATCTTTGAACTTTGAACTCTGCCACAGAAATTGTATTGGCACAATATATCTGTAGATTTTTTTCTGCAGCAATAGCAATTGGCCAGGGAATGAGGCTCTCTGTGCAATACTTTGCCTTAATTTTCATTTCTTTTTAATGGAACTCATTGATAAATAGTAATATTACTTCACACTGTTTTATTTGATACTTAGGTCATAGTCACAGCTGTGTCATTGTTGACACCTAATTCCTATAATATATATACCATAACAATAATCTGTCTTATCTGTTCCAACATCTGTTCAAAATGTACTTGATATCCGTTATTTCATAAAGATATTATAATATTGAACACTATAGGTATTTGTTTCACAATTCTTGAAATGCTCCATTTTCTCAAGTGAGTACTTTTGTATAGAAAAAAGGGAAAACCTTCAGGGATCACAAAATCAACCACTAAGTTTATAATTGAAGAAAATGTTTAATAGGTACTATACTGGTGTTGATACGTGATCGTACCTAAACACGATATATTTAACTTATAATATTTGGTAAATTAGTTTTGTTCAGTGAGCTTGTCTTCATGAAACATTGAAATTGGTAAAAGACTGTTTTCACACCCAACAAGTTTGTTCCAAATTGCATGCATAAGTTGTTAAAACCATCATTATCCAGCAATAAGCCCATCCTTCTATATTGTTGTTCAATAGAATCGCCAACAACAAATACAATTTTGTTGTCCTGTAATAAGCCCACTCCCTTATACTGAATCAGAGGTAATGTCTTGGCTTGTCAGATACATACTGAGGGATGTTTAAAGGTTATATCTTTCCTGTTGCAGGATTTTTCATTAAATGAATATGAGTGTAAAATAATGTAAAAATGTTTTTTTCTTTAATTTAAAAAGGTGATGCATATTTATATCATTTACAGGATAAAGGAAAAAATAAATGTGTGAATATAATATTTCAGTAAATATATATATATATGTCAGATGTTATAGGCTCCTACAAAGAAAGACAATATATTTGTTTTATCTATACTATGTAGAATAAGAATGTTTACTTGATGTGTCTGTTAATATCTATGATGTATAACATGTTCTAAACAGACATTCAATACACAATGTATGACTGATTATATTGATATTGATTATATCACAAAATTTTATTGGTTTCTTTTGTTTTATTTCTATACACATTGTACAACAAGAGAAAGTCTTTATTGCACAAGATTATCACATTTTACTGCATGTTATTTCAGCCGGTATGTCTGGATCAAGGAGATCTTTGCTGAGCGTTGGTACATATGATTTATCTCCCCTTTTTAGACACTCTTGTTTGGAAATCCTAATGTTCTGGATCTAAATGGAAATTTTCTTGGTGTTTTTTTTTTATTTTGCTTTTAATGTCTGCTCATGGCTTCAGTTTTGCACGTGTGTTACATTACATTACACATATTCCTTTGTGACAGTGAGAAGCCTTTTCTCCTGCTATGTGTAGAAGTGTATCTTACATCCTCAATGTTCAGGTCTCCATTTGAAATGTTCAGATTTATTCAATGCCTTCATGTTATAATTGTGATATTTTAAGATGAATTCTCCTAATGACTTATGAAGTTATAGCAATAATAAAAAAAGCAAACAGATGTAAGTTAAGTAAATTTTAGGTATCTCCCCTGCTCCTCCCCTCCCCCCTAGAAAAAAACCAAAAACAAATAACTTTAGGATCAATTTTTTTCTTCTTTCTAATTGATATCTTCCATTACATATATTTACATTAATAATTTTTTTTCACAATCATTACAGTGGTTTCATTAGTAATTCACTTAAATTCAATTTTTCTGCAAACTTTGGAATGAAAATTTCAAATATAAAGCAATGCTTTTAAATATTCCTCTGATTCTTCGTCTGTTGACATTTACAAACCAAATGTAGTGTTTTTACCTGTCTGATTCTGCACCTGCTAACAATTACAAACCGATGATATATGTTGTTTTCACCCTATACAGATTTGAATGTTGTCAGGACATCCACTTAAGAGACTTGCAGACATGGGCACATCTCACTCTATTTCTGGCACTATTGATAACTCTTAGATATTCTTTAAACTGTATCGTCCTTTTGACCACAGGTGAGAAGGATCCTAGTAGTACACCTGTCCCTGCACAACGAAAAACTCTTTCTCGTTCTGTCTTAGCTGAAGGTAAATCTGCTACATGTTGCAAGGTGCTTGTTGTTGTAGTGGTTATGTGTTGTATAGTATAGTATGTACCTTGTATGTAATCAGTCTGGATACACCTATGCATGCTGTATGTGTTTAGTGCTTATATATATAGTAAAAATGTCCCTGTTGGTGTGTCCTGCTGACAGTTCACATCAGTATCTGAGCCTCTCAATAACTCTCTTGTTACTTGGCAGAGATGTTGGATGGAAGATGGGGAAAGCATATCACATTGCTGTGGATATTGCATATTAAAGTTATAGAATTGATTTAGAAATTGAATTTATTTTGAAGACTTTGCTTTAAAAGTTGATGGAAATGCAACAGAAGTGTTGATACTGGTTGGTGAAATTACTGCCTGAAGTTTTGATAACACTTTGTGTACCAATCTTCACTGTCAGAAATTACCTTAAATCTACAAGCATTGTGGCCACTCAAATTTCAGTGTAAACAAAATTGTTTTTTAGTTAACTTTGAAAAAAATAAATCAAACAAACAACAAATTATTGATAATGATACGTTTTTGCATGTTTTCTTGATTGAAAATGATGTTGTTTGTGTTCAAAAAGTATCAACCTATCAAACACCGAAGGTTTTATATGATAATTTTATGTCGCTTGTATTTTCTGAGGCTTAGCAAGTGTGCTGCATGTCCCTACAACACAGACTGTATATCAAGTGAATAGAACTGACTGTATCCAGTTGGCTAGAAAATGATACTTAAGAGGTGGTCATTGCTGAAGAAAATGTCCATTTTCTGATATAATTGCACAAATTACAAGTTTAAGAAGAGAAAACTACCAGTAGATTGGTGTAGGCAATCAACTTTGCATGATATAGTTAGACCTTATGTCTGCTCTGTAGATTTATATGTAAGACAATCATCTTACTGTCTTTATATGTAACAGATATTTATGATAAAATTGAATCAAACAAACTGTGTCATGAATTTTAGCACATTCTTTGTTGATGTGGCTATTTTTTTTTGTTAGACATCATTACTTGAGACCATACTTTTTTTGAGAAAAGTATTCTCCTGGTCAAGCTGGACATTCCATTGTCCACTGCTTTTGGTTAAACAGGAAAAGACATCTGGGAGCAATGCCTATTTATGTGGGGAAATTGAAAGTTCTATATTTAATTAGGTGGGCAGTGACCATCTTTTAATATGTCTTGTTAACTTTAAGCATGGAATGAGATGGATTTGATTGTTACCTGTTTTAAATGTTTATACCTTCTTATTCATTTAATCTGATAATTAGTATAAGAGGTAATAGAATGTTGCTCTGTATACAATATGGAGTTAAATATACCAGGAGAATCAGGGTTATTTTTGAATATGCTAGAGTTTGACATACTGCATGTCTCCCTGACTTATGCCACTTGTGACTTCCATCTAAACAGATGCAGTCATTAATGTTTATGTTTATGCTGCCATTTCTTTTGAAATTTCCAAAACCAAGAAGTCGTTTGTCACACCTTCATTAAGTTACATTTATACAGAGCATCCAATATAAGCATGGCTAGCGCGTAATACAGAACATCCAATACAACCATGGCTAGTGCATAATACAGAACATCCAATATAACCAGGGCTAGCTTGTAATACAGAACATCCAATATAACCAGGGCTAGCTTGTAATACAGAACATCCAATATAACCATGGCTAGTGCATAATACAGAACATCCAATATAACCAGGGCTAGCTTGTAATACAGAACATCCAATATAACCAGGGCTAGCTTGTAATACAGAACATCCAATATAACCATGGCTAGCTTGTAATACAGAACATCCAATATAACCAGGGCTAGCTTGTAATACAGAACATCCAATATAACCAGGGCTAGCTTGTAAGACAGCCAAGTATAATGAATTTCGAAATACAACACTCTGAGATGAATGTGGCTGTTAATTGGACTAAACAAAAAATGCTGCCTATATTCGGAAAGGTTTAATTGTAACAAATCATTGAGAATATTTATGGGTATTTCCTCCAATAATATTCATTCTCTAAAGTTGTACAATTCAATATTGTTTATTTTTCTGAGGGATAGGAACAGAAAGCATGGCTTTATTATTTGCATGACTGCTAATGTACACATCACATACATTATATGTGAAACATCAGATATACAAATTGGGGAAAAAATTCACATGAATAATTTTTTTATACAAATGGGAGGGGAATCCCCATGGATAATGTTATATATGAAAAAACACAGAGGATTCCCCATGGATAATGTTATATGTAAAAATCAGAGAGGATTCCCCATGGATAATGTTATATATATAAATCAGAGAGGATTCCCCATGGATAATGTTATATATATAAATCAGAGAGGATTCCCTATGGATAATGTTATATATAAAAATCAGAGAGGATTCCCCATGGATTGTTTAATATATATATATTCACCAATAGAAGAGGAATCCCTATGGAGTGTTACAAAGTCATAGAGGGTAACAAGTTGCAGAGGAATCTCTTAAGTATGGACTGTTATATAGTCATATAGAGTAACATACAGGTGGGAGGGAAAACCCCATGGGTTGTTATATAGTCATATAGAGTAACAAACAAGTGGAGGGAAAACCCCATGGGTTGTTATATAGTCATATAGAGTAACATACAGGTGGGAGGGAAAACCCCATGGGTTGTTATATAGTCAAATAGAGTAACAAACAATGGGTTGTTATATGGAGGGAAACCCCATGGGTTGTTATATAGTCATATAAAGTAACAAACAAGTGGGAGGGAAGTCCCCATGGATTGTTATATAGTCATATAGAGTAACATACAGGTGGGAGGGAAAACCCCATGGGTTGTTATATAGTTGTTACTGAAGTAACATACAGGTGGGAGGGGAAACCCCATGGGTTGTTATATAGTTGTTACTGAAGTAACATACAGGTGGGAGGGGAAACCCCATGGGTTGTTATATAGTTGTTACTGAAGTAACATACAGGTGGGAGGGGAAACCCCATGGGTTGTTATATAGTTGTTACTGAAGTAACATACAGGTGGGAGGGGAAACCCCATGGGTTGTTATATAGTTGTTACTGAAGTAACATACAGGTGGGAGGGGAAACCCCATGGGTTGTTATATAGTTGTTACTGAAGTAACATACAGGTGGGAGGGGAAACCCCATGGGTTGTTATATAGTTGTTACTGAAGTAACATACAGGTGGGAGGGGAAACCCCATGGGTTGTTATATAGTTGTTACTGAAGTAACATACAGGTGGGAGGGGAAACCCCATGGGTTGTTATATAGTTGTTAATGAAGTAACATACAGGTGGGAGGGGAAACCCCATGGGTTGTTATATAGTAGTTACTGGAAGTAACATACTAGTTGTTACTGGGTAACATACATGGGTGGGTTGTTATATAGTTGTTACTGAAGTAACATACAGGTGGGAGGGGAAACCCCATGGATTGTTATATAGTTGTTACTGAAGTAACATACAGGTGGGAGGGGAAACCCCATGGGTTGTTATATAGTTGTTACTGAAGTAACATACAGGTGGGAGGGGAAACCCCATGGATTGTTATATAGTTGTTACTGAAGTAACATACAGGTGGGAGGGGAAACCCCATGGGTTGTTATATAGTTGTTACTGAAGTAACATACAGGTGGGAGGGGAAACCCCATGGGTTGTTATATAGTCATATAGAGTAACATACAGGTGGGAGGGAAAACCCCATGGGTTGTTATATAGTTGTTACTGAAGTAACATACAGGTGGGAGGGGAAACCCCATGGATTGTTATATAGTTGTTACTGAAGTAACATACAGGTGGGACGGGAAACCCCATGGGTTGTTATATAGTCATATAGAGTAACATACAGGTGGGAGGGGAAACCCCATGGATTGTTATATAGTTGTTACTGAAGTAACATACAGGTGGGAGGGGAAACCCCATGGGTTGTTATATAGTTGTTATATAGTTGTTACTGACCCCATGGGTTGTTATATAGTTGTTACTGAAGTAACATACAGGTGGGAGGGGAAACCCCATGGGTTGTTATATAGTTGTTACTGAAGTAACATACAGGTGGGAGGGGAAACCCCATGGGTTGTTATATAGTTGTTACTGAAGTAACATACAGGTGGGAGGGGAAACCCCATGGGTTGTTATATAGTTGTTACTGAAGTAACATACAGGTGGGAGGGGAAACCCCATGGGTTGTTATATAGTTGTTACTGAAGTGTTGTTACTGAAGTAACATACAGGTGGGAGGGGAAACCCCATGGATTGTTATATAGTTGTTACTGAAGTAACATACAGGTGGGAGGGGAAACCCCATGGATTGTTATATAGTTGTTACTGAAGTAACATACAGGTGGGAGGGGAAACCCCATGGGTTGTTATATAGTTGTTACTGAAGTAACATACAGGTGGGAGGGGAAACCCCATGGGTTGTTATATAGTTGTTACTGAAGTAACATACAGGTGGGAGGGGAAACCCCATGGATTGTTATATAGTTGTTACTGAAGTGTTGTTACTGAAGTAACATACAGGTGGGAGGGAAATCCCCATGGATTGTGAAACAGATAGTACAGGAAGAAGTTTACATTATTTTGCCAAGAATTTGCAAAATGTTTTGGAAAAATTTACAAAATCTTCCTTTTTCTCAAAACTTCAGAACATTATGTTGACATATATGTATTGATTAACTTAACTGGAGATGTTTGGTATACAACTAAGATGTGCATTGTTTAGTAAGAGAATGGGATCGTAGATATTTACAAACAGAAATTGTAAAGATCTTCAAAAACTTTTACCTTTACTTCATTTTGTTTCACTATTAACATGATTAATATAAATATTTAAGCAACTAATCTTTCTGTTCATGTTATAAGGAAAGTTTTATTCCTGAATATATCATCTGATTTCTTAAACCCCTGGATGATGCATGTCATGGATTGATAAGGAAATCTTTTGCTTAAATCTGTATTTACATGTTTACTATCAAATGCTTTAGACAAAAACAAACCAAGACTGGAAAATAAAACATGTTTGGATTGGCACTTACTTGTGTTTTTGCAGTTTACATATACTCTGTACTATGAGGAATTATCTAATACTGTAGATGTACTTAATTTGGCACATCAAATTTTAGCGCTTAATCTTTTATTGGCAAATTAGTGCAATGATAAATTTGTGTATCCACAGTAATTACTATATAAGCAGCATATAGGAATTGCAATTAGCACAGTAATTTTTAGGGCAATTCTCACAGTGCGAAAAGTGCTGAGATATGATTACCATTAAATATGCCTGTTTACAGTAAGTTACATTTTTGTGAAATGTACCCATCATGATCTCTTGTTGCAACTTGACATATTTCAGTGAAGGAGAAAGACAAATTTCATTAAAGTTTTAATTACATTTAAGATCATTATGACACAGAAAATGAGTTTAGCCATATCTGAAGTACAACAGTCATCTAACTAGAATAATCTGTGTCAAAGGTCAAAGTGACTTTTTAGTTTGATTATTCTCAAAGTACTGAACATTTCAATAGAATTTCACAAAAAAATTAACTGTTCAGTCAATTAAAACTAAATGATGTTAAGATTTTGTAAAATTTGAAATAGATTTTGAAGAAATATCATTTCATGTTTGAGTAAAAATCATTGGTACTCAAATATACTACCAAAACTCAATGTTGATGATTATGAACAGATTTTGCTTTTAAGATACAAATATTAAAATAAAAAATGTCACTAAATATTAAACATTGTACCAGATCTCAATGTATACATCACTGATCAATATTGTATCATTATAATTTGTCATTATTTCAGATGACATGCCACGACCTTCACCGAGGACACACAAAAAAGGACAGCCCGTCAAACATATCCCAGCAAGCAAACTAGGTCAACTCACTGATCAGCCGAAAAATAAAGGGGTAGGACATGTAGTGAAGTAATGAACATTTGTGTTTTATACCATGCCATTGCCATCCTCTGCCTCTAACTCACCACCTGAATCTTGTAGTACATTTCACTGGAGAGTTTCAGTTACCTCTTTGTCTATAACTGTGGAGAAGATAGACTAATGACACCATATTACACCTATTTCAATATAGATATCTGAAGCTTTGTGTGCCTTACTCCCTTGAGATATAGAAACATGATTAAAGTTTTCCTGATATTGGAGTTTTACCATTGTTAAAAGATTTAGGAATGTTAACATATCTAGACAATGTTCAAAATAGTAAGATATTATTGCTAGACTGGAAAGACAGAAAACAAATGATGATCATGTGATTGGACTATCACTGAAGATACACATTCTCTTCTAGGACTGGACCAAAGTTAGTAACAAAGGCTGTTTCTTTGTTGATGATGAGGATGGTCTGATGACTCACATCTACAGACTTACCCTGAAGGAGAGGAGTAAAGTCTGGATCACCATTCAACCAACATCACCACAGTCCATGAGTAAGACTTCTTGTCATATTATTCTTTAATTTGAATTATACCCTTTGTTTAATTTGAATGTTCACCTGGACATTTAGGCCATGAGCTTATGCTCAGTGGCACGGTGTCCATTGTCCATTTCTAACTGTGTTTATGTACATTGTGGTGAAGGTCAGATGTGAAACTGATATTTAAACTTAAGAGATAGTAATTTTACCATGTGTCCGTACCAATCATTACTGAATGCTGTACTTATTTCTTCAGTAATAGGTGATGTGACCCCGATAGATACCATGTTGCTTATCACCAAAAAGAAGCCAGATGCTGAGGGAAGATCAGTAGTCGCATTCACAGAGAAACGTGACGGCAAAGGAGTAAGTGATCATTAAATTTTTGAAGTCACTGATATTTACTGATCTTTGGGGAACGATTTTTTAAATCATAATATATAGGCGGGGACTGACTTTTAGTTCTGGTAGGAATTCAAAGTTATTCACCAGTACTACTAAAGGTGACTTAAAAGTTCTCCCCATCTGTAATCCTGGAGGAGACTTTAAGTTGCTCACTGGTATTTCTGTAGGGGATCCGAAATTCCTCACCAGTATTTCTGGAGAGGACATAGGGTTTTAAACCAGTAAAAATGACTTAAAGGTCCTCATCATTTCTTATGAATTAGACTTTAAGGTCTCATCAGTACTGCTGGAAGATTTCTCTCAAGTATCACTAGAGAGGACTTATAGTTTGTCACCAGTACTACCTGAGGAAACTTTTAGTTCCTTGACAGTACTCCTGGAGGGGAATTAAAGTTCATCTTCAATTCTACTGCAGGGGACCATAGGTTCCTCACCAGTACCATGGGAAGGGACTTTAAGGGCTTCCCAAGAGGGGACTATCAGTGTGAATTCAGTCTTTGTGAAATTTGATTCACATGGTGTAGGATATATCTTCTTACTCTTTCTCATAATTTGTAGCAATGCAGTGACAGTGTATTCAGAAGTGTTACATACACACGTTTTCTTCCTGGTTACCTGATACAGAAGGGGAGTACATAGTAACCACTTTGTGTGCCTGTTTTCTTCCTGGTTACCTGATACAGAAGGGGAGTACATAGTAACCACTTTGTGTGCCTGTACCTCCACGATAACCTTGTATACAAGAAACACTGGACAGATTTATTTCATATTCACACCATATAATATAATATATAATTCTGAGTCCCTGCTCACTGTGTGTTTATTGTTTATGTTTGGTTTAACAGAAATATGGCGTGATGTGTGAGTTGAAGGCTGGGACGTACAACCTGCTACCATTTACGACGGGCTGTAACCTAAAGCCTCGTCGCTCAGACTCCTCAAAGGAAACACCATTGGTTCGAAAAAAAGATGGAAAAACCACCATCACTAAAGCATTCAGGTAAGGTCGAGCATATTGAAAGAGTGAATATATATACAGTGATAATGTTATTGAGACATGTATATATGTCATTACAATCAGACTGCATTGGTGAAAAGTAAGATATTGTTTGTAAACTTTGAACTATTGACCTTTCCAAGAAGATGGAGTTCATGGTAACTTATAAAATCACCGTACAGTTACATTTATAGCTATCAAAATTCCACTTCAGTCAACATTACCAAACATGATAAAGATAATGAATGCAGACTCAGTAGAGTAAGTGACAGTTAATATCACTGTTTTGTTTAAGATATCTGTGTATTATTTCTAAGTATACATAGTTTACAACCAGTATACTTGTTACTTACTAGGAAAGCATTGGTGGAGATATTTGAGCTCAGTGACTTGGACAGCAACGGCACGCTGAGTCGAGATGAGTTCACATGGTTTACGATGAGGACTAGTGGGGACAAGGTCAGCGATGATGAATGGGAGGTGGTTACAGGTCAGCTGTTTTTTATTTTTTTATTATTTTTTTCATTCTTCCGCATAAATGCTGTGATAAAATTTTCATCGTTTCAACTTCTTCTTAAGTTCCAAGAGTGGATTTTTGTTTAAACTTTCCTGGAATGATACTGAAATAGTACCAGTTGTAAGAACTGCCCGATGAGATCAACAGCTCTGTAACAGTGTTCATATGCCATCATATAGTTTTCATTCTCCAATTAATCACAACAAAATGTCAAGTGACACCACTTCATTGTTACTATTTACAGAAACTGTGGAGTTACAGGACGATGAAGTTACTGAAAAAGGATTTCTGAAACTTAACGAGATGGAAGCAGATGATGTAGACGATGACATCAGTGACCTGTGGGTGACTTTACACTCAATGGGCTACAATAAGGATTTATTTATAGATGAGGTAACCAAATCAACAATCACTGTGATTAATTACTGTATATAATCCTGTAACATAAACATATCAGTAATTACTGTATATAATCCTGTAACATAAACATATCAGTAATTACTGTATATAATCCTGTAACATAACCACATCAGTAATTACTGTATGTAATCCTGTAACATGACCACATCAGTAATTACTGTATATAATCCTGTAACATAAACATATCAGTAATTACTGTATATAATCCTGTAACATAAACATATCAGTAATTACTGTATATAATCCTGTAACATAACCACATCAGTAATTACTGTATATAATCCTGTAACATAAACATCAGTAATTACTGTATATAATCCTGTAACATAAACATCAGTAATTACTGTATATAATCCTGTAACATAACCACATCAGTAATTACTATATATTATCATGTAACATAACGACATCCGTATTTACTGTATATAATCCTGTAACATAAAGATATCAGTAATTACTATATATAATCCTGTAACATAACCACATCAGTATTTACTGTATATAATCCTGTAACATAAAGATATCAGTAATTACTATATATTATCATGTAACATAACCACATCAGTATTTACTGTATATAATCCTGTAACATAAAGATATCAGTAATTACTATATATTATCATGTAACATAACCACATCAGTATTTACTGTATATAATCCTGTAACATAAAGATATCAGTAATTACTATATATTATCATGTAACATAACCACATCAGTATTTACTGTATATAATCCTGTAACATAAAGATATCAGTAATTACTGTATATAATCCTGTAACATAACCACATCAGTAATTACTGTATATAATCCTGTATATAATCCTGTAACATAACCACATCAGTAATTACTGTATATAATCCTGTATATAATCCTGTAACATAACCACATCAGTAATTACTGTATATAATCCTGTAATAATCCTGTAACATAACCACATCAGTAATTACTGTATGTAATTACTGTATATAATCCTGTAACATAACCACATCAGTAATTACTGTATATAATCCTGTAACATAACCACATCAGTAATTACTGTATATAATCCTGTAACATAACCACATCAGTAATTACTGTATATATGTATATAATCCTGTAACATAACCACATCAGTAATTACTGTATATAATCCTGTATATAATCCTGTAACATAACCACATCAGTAATTACTGTATATAATCCTGTATATAATCCTGTAACATAACCACATCAGTAATTACTGTATGTAATTACTGTATATAATCCTGTAACATAACCACATCAGTAATTACTGTATATAATCCTGTAACATAACCACATCAGTAATTACTGTATATAATCCTGTAACATAACCACATCAGTAATTACTGTATATATCCTGTATATAATCCTGTAACATAACCACATCAGTACAGTATATAATCCTGTATATAATCCTGTAACATAACCACATCAGTAATTACTGTATGTAATTACTGTATATAATCCTGTAACATAACCACATCAGTAATTACTGTATGTAATTACTGTATATAATCCTGTAACATAACCACATCAGTAATTACTGTATATAATCCTGTAACATAACCACATCAGTAATTACTGTGTGTAATCACTGTATATAATCCTGTAACATAACCACATCAGTAATTACTGTATATAATCCTGTAACATAACCACATCAGTAATTACTGTATATAATCCTGTAACATAACCACATCAGTAATTACTGTATATAATCCTGTAACATAACCACATCAGTAATTACTGTATATAATCCTGTAACATAACCATGTCATTAGTTACTTGGTAAATTGGTTTGATTTTTTTTTTCCAAACAACTTGTGCATTGTGATAATTATTTCACAGACTATTGCTATGCTTACAAAAACTCCATTCTCTGATTGATCAAGATGTTTTTCATTTGCCATTGTAACTGTTATTGACAAATAATGTATCTATAAATTTAGGTTTGAATTTTGAGAGTTTTTGAGAGTAATTTCACCTTTGGATAACCTCCAGTTGATGTTCATTGTTGAAGATTGTGAATGAGCATGCATCAAAGTTTGCTTTGAGAAGTTCTAGCTTGTTTTATTTTTAAATATTACGCTGGTGAAAAACAGTGGTTTCTTTGTGTTGACAGGCATGTCCATTCAAACTAGATGTTTTTGCTGAAAACTGTGATGATGCTGACGTGTCCCTTACCTGTACAGGAATAGAAACAATCAACAATGACAAGATAATTGAAACTGTTATGGAACAGGTACGACCAAGACAATTTTATAAATTTCTGTTTGACTTTACAAGGTTTTTTTTCTGTGTTTCGATTTACCTGGGTAATGTAAGCATATCATATTTTCAAAAATTGATTAATTAGAAGTGTTTTTTCTTTTCTTTTTTATTCAAATTTATCATCTTGAATATTGAGAGGTTGGTAATAAAGTTTTCTGATGTGTGAGAAACTAGGTCATGCTGTTTCTTTTTCAGAATGAAGCAGTAAAGATCAAAAGCATGGTGTACATGTATACATATGCTAATGACACAAGGTCAACAGTGGTTCTAGAGAACAAGGTTGGTAAAGCAATCATACATGTTCTAATACCAGGAGGTCAACTCTCATAGTTTACCTACCTAAAAGTCAAATGTCCGATTATGACATACATGATAATGAAATTATATGACTTGCTGACCAGTGAACATTTAGCAAAGGTGTTTGTATATAACCCTCGGTCAGATGTTTGTGAAGTTTTAGAATCAAAACGTTTTTACTCCTGTGTGAATTTGTACTGATACAAAGGATTGATTAAGTTTTGTATGCAGAGAACATGATTGTATCTATACAATAATTAAATAAACAAGTCTTCTTCCATTTAACACAACAATGCTCACATATTTACTAGTGATGGGATTTCAAACTTTCAGTCCAATTACTGCTACATCAAAAAGTCCATTGATAGTATTAGGTCTCTTCAATTTCATTTCTAATTCTAAGTTTTGAGATTATTTTGAAATTTCACTTCCTTAGTTTAAACTCGGGACAGATTAAAGATGTGTTGTAAACCATTCAGAACGAGGTATCATTTTGAGATATTAAGGAGGTAAGATAATACTGTAAATATTAGAGATCTTTTTTTTCTATGATGCAGTCGACCAACCGAGTGAAGATATCAATGGACTGCACAAGCAGTAAGAATTGTCAGATAAATCGTGACAAGGAGGAATATATCATCACCCTTGACCCCGATGATAAACAGGTAAGTTTCAAGCTGAAAGAATATTCTGTCACCCTTAACGCCCACCTTAAACAGGAAAATCTCGGCCCAATGGAATATAATATCACCCTCGGCCCACACATAAACAGGTAAGTCTTCACCTGAAGGAATATTAAGTCACCCTCAACACTCGTGATAAACCAGGAGGAATATACCCTTAATCCCCTTGATAAGCACTTCAGTCTCGACCAGGAAAGATATACTGTCACTCTCGACCCCAAAGGATAAACAGGAAAGTTTCGACCAGATCCTCCTATATGGACTATCATTCTCAACCCACACAATATATAGGTGAGTCTCAACTAGGAAGAATATACTGTCACCCACAACCCCCACAATAGGTCAATCTCAATCAGGAGAAATATACCAGCACCCTTGACCTGCATAATAAACAGGTAAGTCTCAACAAGGAGGAATATACCAGCACCCTCTGTAGATTTGTCTAATGATAGCTGTCAAAAACCATATACAGTTTGTGTAGGTTATATAAAAAAAGAAAAAAGTAGATCTTATGAGTGTTTTAATGGTATGAATACAAACCATGGTCAATTGTTATAATAATGATTCCTACAATGGTAATATTCACATGTTTAGACACTATAATGTTAGCTAATGCATGAGTTCAAAGGAAGATAACTCTGATAAGATGACGATCTCCAGCGTCGAAGATTCTCCACCACATATGTAATAATTATAAAATGACTTCAGCATTTCTATATTTTGTCAGTTGTGTTTAACAGGACTAACTTTAACGTCACATCCGCAATTATTTGTACCTATATCGGGTACTCTTTTTCTATGAAAGATAATACCAAGACATTAACTTTCTTCTCTAGATCGCACACCACTTGATGCCATTGGACGAGACTTTGGACTGGACTCCACGTTGTGTAGAAACTGTCACCAAATAACAGCAGGAACAAACTAGGCCTACAGATATATTTTTACAGCAACCATCCCGTCCATTTACATAAGATACATAATATCAATTTTATCGTCAACATTTGTTCAGTGGTATAATTGTAGTTTTATTAAAACTGAAAGTATGGCATATGTTTAGTGTTTGTAGTTTCTGGTAAAAGACATGCTTTCATTATTGATACAGTTTTTCCACATTTAGGGACTTATTTATATACATTGTATATTGGAAATATTTTAGATTTTTTGTTTTTAGGATTCTTTGTTCCTAATGAGTGTAGGACACCAATAGAATTACAGTGAATACTGCCAAGGATTACTTCCCCTGGTTTTAATGATTTCTCTTTCATTAAAATCAACATATCATTGTACAGATGGGTTACTTTACTTTCCAATCTGTTCATCAAATGTATTATAATTTTGAAGGCAGTTACCAAGATAAATGCTATTTAAAGATTTTCGGAAAACAAGCGATCAAGATTTTATTTTGTTGAGATGATGCCGCTGCCAAGATGACGATGAAGAAATATTTCATTTAATACAGAGATTAATAGGTGATCCTAAGAATATTCTGTGCCTTAATTCATGATAAAGATGGTACTGAAACACAGACCCTTTCATTGTAGCAATGGTGCAAGTCAAATATCGAAACAATTACAATATTTTGACAATACTTGTATTTTATGAGGAGAAATTTCTTTGAGGTTAGTGTTCTCACCACAGGAAAGCAACAAGTTAACTGATTCTGAAAACAACACTTGTCAGAGGAGATTACTTTAAGGATTTTTTGTTTCTTTGTTTTTTGGAATTTTTTTTTTTTTTGTTAGATAACTAAAAATTTGAAAAGTACAGGCAGGTCAATTTATGTGTGATTTTAGTATGGAGAATATCAAAGATGATTACTTAAGATTTCAGGGTTGTCCTTTGTCTTAGGTATCCATGGCAACAAGTACATTACCCCTTAAATGGAGTAGTATCTGGTAATAGTAATTATCTCTCTAGTATGACACTGTACAAGCCTAATACTGATATCAATATTTAGAAGATAAACAATTTTAATGCTATATATAGATGAATTTTTTCTCCCATTTTTAACAAAAATGCTTTTGTTTGTTTCTAGATTTCAAATAACAGAATGGGAACTTTCCAGAAATACTTTTTCTTTTGTGTAGATGTGTTTGCTGTTTACTCTGTTATTTTACCATAAGCAGGCATGCAGAATTGGACTCTTTTTATACATAGGATTTTGATGTAGAATGTGATGAAACACTTTCTGAAGTCTTATTAATTAACTACTATTTCACGACAATTGTATTATTGTTCAAGTATGTATTTGTATCTTCTTCAAAATATTTATTGATGTACAAATTGTATAGTGTACAATTTGTAAGTTTGATAAATAACCATTGAAACTAAAGAATTTCTTTGGTTCAAGGTTGGAAAAATTTAAATAGCCATCACTTGTTATAGATTTGAGTTTGATAAACTTGATATATATAATTACCCCTGCTCAGAACAATTTTCTATCAGTGACCATGGGGAAATTGCTTACCTAGCCTTGGTTTTCATACTTGGATTTTGATACATTATACATGATAACCAACCATTATATGTACAGGAGTCTACATTTATACCACAAACCTAAGACCATCTACAAGACGTGTATATTCTGTTAGTGTAGATACTCATTTTCTACACCTTTTGAAAGCTTACGTTTGAGATGATTGTTCCTTACACAGATTGTTAATATTGTAAACACATTTTAGCAGTGATCTTATTTAATGCTTTTGCACTGAAAATATTTTGCTAAAATAAAGTTGTGGTATTGCAGTTTCTGTATATAGATCATATCATCATATAGCAACTTTTTTGGACATGCTAGATATCATTTGGCTAATTAACCAAATAAGTGATTATGTGCTGGAAAATTTAACATGTTTATCAATAGTAGACAGACTTTTCTACCACAATAGATGTGTGTTATTCAACCCCAAAGGCATCAATTAATCATTCCAATTGTTGTATAAACATAAAACGTTATACCACATATGGTTTAACAATTTAGCTTGTTTGAACACCTGACAGAGTGAACCTTGACCCAATGGGTGCTTCATTTACTCACAGAAATTAGAACATTCAGTAAAATGTTCACGATTGTTTTTGCAATAATTTAATTTTTTCTGGATTTCACTCTTTCTTCTGCTTTGAAGATAAGATTTGTGACGAGTTACAATAACTTGATGCGTTTCTGAAATTGTCAGCTTTTCCTGTCAATTAAACAGATTTCGCTAATGGTCATATCATTACGCCCCAACTGATAATGTAAACAAACACATATGGGTAAATTTTCATTGTAGTTAAGACAGATCACACAAACTTGTAGTTGCTTTATATGATACTCCTTTTACTCTTGTTAGTATTTTTCCAAATAGTTCCAAAAATATGCACTAAAGCTTGTGTATTTTGTGACTTTTGAAAAAATAACTACATTGTATAACCTCTATTTTATATATCCATTGTTTGTAGAAAGTGTGTCACCCTTTACCATGCTACAATGAACAAAATCATTTTGAAGTTTGGCACTATTAAACATTATGCCTTAACATGAAGTACAGGAAAATCAGGGTTGTTGTGGGGTTCAAGAGGTAGGACGTTGAATAGTAATAAGTAACGTTGTTATGATGTTTTTCCTTGTCTGTGATATTTTCTATAATTATTATTGTGTATATATGGCTATTTAATTGTGCCATGGCTGAGTTAACATGTTGTGGTGACACAGTCGTGATTCACACTTAGTTTATCTGTTATAACAATTTTTTTACTATTTTCATTACCATCGTCTAAAATTAGAAATCTCATGATGGCCCACATCTATTGGTGTGCCGTAGATATTAGATAATAAATAAGTATAAGTATCAAGCTTGTGTCGTTGTTTGTAATAGTTTTTACCTGAAATGCATGCATGTCCAATTCAAAACTTGATTAGCTGTAACAAATGGATACAGAATGTCAGCATGAAATTGCTCTGAATTTAACATTTTGCATTACCTTATGGACGTCAACTTTAGACTAATTCATTCAGTCATCTGAGAATTTCATTACCTAAGATGAAGGATGTCTCCATTGGTATTAAAATTCATTTTATTTACCAGGTAAGTCTCGTATGTTGAGCCTCTGTGTCCTGTGGTATAGAAGCCTGACACATTCATCTAAGCAGTATTGCAGAAAAGCGCAGTACCACACAATTTCCCAGTTTATCTTCATGTGACTTGATGTGTTACTGTGACCTTTGACTTTTTAGGTACACTGTAGGAATGTGAGGGCCTGTGCTACTGTGACCTTTGGTGTTTAGGTACACCATGAGGGCTTGTGATAGGTAAACTGTGACCTTTGACTTTTAGGTACACAGTGAGTGTCTTTCATACTCAGACATTCGACTTTTAGATAGGTAAACCATGAGGGCCAGTTATACTGTAAACTTTGATGTAATGGTAAATGATGAGGGCCTTTGGTGATGTGACCTTCAACTTTTGGGTGAACGATGAGGGCCTGTTATACTATGAACTTTGACTTTAGGGTGAACGATGAGGGCCTGTTACACTATGAACTTTGACTTTAGGGTGAACGATGAGGGCCTGTTACACTATGAACTTTGACTTTAGGGTGAACGATGAGGGCCTGTTACACTATGAACTTTGACTTTAGGGTGAACGATGAGGGCCTGTTACACTATGAACTTTGACTTTAGGGTGAACGATGAGGGCATGTTACACTATGAACTTTGACTTTAGGGTGAACGATGAGGGCCTGTTACACTATGAACTTTGACTTTAGGGTGAACGATGAGGGCCTGTTACACTATGAACTTTGACTTTAGGGTAAACGATGAGGGCCTGTTACACTATGAACTTTGACTTTAGGGTAAACGATGAGGGCCTGTTACACTATGAACTTTGACTTTAGAGTAAACGATGAGGCCTGTAATGCTGTGAACTTTCACTTTAGGGTAAATGTTGAGGGCCTGTTATGCTGTGAACTTTGACTTTAAGGTAAATGATGAGAGTGTGTTATACTGTGAACTTTGTCGTTTGGGTGAACAGTGAGGGATCATTATACTGTTAACTTGAACTTTAGAGTAAACGATGAGAGTCTGTGTTGCTGGTGCTGATTGGAGAACTACAAGTGTTGTTTACAACCCTGAAATCTAATGTACAATATCTCCCATTGAGTATATGTCGTTAGCTAAAGTAAACATCATTAGATCAGTATATTAACTTCAGACAATCTAGATTATGTTAAAGCCAACTTAGTTACGTTCACTTATGTGCCCCACTCTAGAAATACACTACTGGGGACCAGATACTGTTGACCTTGTCATCATAACCATAGTTTCAATGTTTAGGTATCTGAAGACTCATTAGTCACCAAGTATACCATCCATTAGCTTGGTGATTGGGTTGTTCATGAAATAAACAAATCACAACATTCGGCTTCCTGCATGTGGCGAAATTGAAGGCATCATCGTGTATTGTCTAGAATGCATGCTAGTTCTTGGTTAGGTATTAAATTTCGTTTGCTGAGTTTATCAATCAGTGTGAACAGCCATGGTCATTTTGAAGCGGTGACTACCTCACTGAACAACATACAGGAGGCACGTCGCATGCTTTCCAGACCAAATATTATTGAATGTTATACCCAAAGACACAACCATCTCGGCACCTTCAGGTCCATTTTGGAAGCTTCCTGAGAAACACAAAGGGTATGGAATGTCAAAATGTATGTAAACTTGGTATCTAAATAAAATACAGGTAAGAAAGAAACATAGATATAGATTTGGAACAAATTAGCATCATGATGTTGATGCATGCTTCTTTTGTTCAAGTCTATCATATACTAGAATTACTGTACCAAACTTGTGAATTGTAGATTTGAGAAAACAAAGTCAGTGCAAACCTCGCCTACAAATGATAAACCGAGTAAATCAATTTCAAGAAACTGTCTCTGTTTTCCGTTCAGACGCTTTCGACCAGATAACAATATATAGGAATACAATACTAAAATAGTAATGACTAAATCTTATATCCCTTTTTTTGTAGAAAGGGATAGTGACCAATCAAAAATATACAAGAACTCTGCAAATACAGTTGTTAATATTCAATGTTTAAAAACAACCATAATACCAAAAACAACAAATAAAAGAAAAGAGAAAAAATCTAAATATTACGTATATATAATTTTTAAACACGCATATTTGTCTGTCAAAAATTCACATTCGACTCTTCAATAACCGGATTTCACTTCTGTTCACTAGAATTATGTATATTATGAAATAATTTGTCGTGAAACCCTACATTGAAATATGTACGGAAGTGAGTTACCTGTTTAGTTAGATTTATCTCCCCTACACTTACTCAACTCAAAGGTATTTAAGAGAGGCAGAATAAGGGAATTTGATAAAATATTGATTTATTTAAATGAACGTATCCTGATTTGTATATAAATTTATTTATCATTAATGTATGATAGTTTGATTTTTTCCATTTTTCCTGTGTGAAAACTTTGTGTAACATATAGATTATTTGTCTTTATTTGGGAAATACCCTTGTGGGGCCTCTTTTACCTGTGGTACACACCTGAGAACGCCATTTTGAATTAGATGAAAACATGGCGCCCAATATACAGGGTCTAGCCCTGCTTGCATTAAATTTAATGCTGGTATGGCGATCTGCAGGTAAGCATAAAACTAACACAAGTCTTACATGTGATTTATACTTTTATCACAGAAAAACTATGCATATTTCACGCATGCATAACACCTGTTGTCTGATTTTACACCTGTAAACACTGCGCGGTTAGTCATCTTACTTCCGTAAAAACAAGGCTTGAAATTAAACTTACTTCCAATCTGTGATAGTTAACAATTATTGACATATTCTAAGGGTAAAATCTTAAATTGTAGGATTTCTTCTTTAATTTTATAAATTAAGAGTACCATTATGGTCAAGCATTTTGGCGATTTGACGGGCCTGTGATAAAATATGTACACAGTTATCAATCTGTTTTAGAGAAATAGAGCATACTGTTTCGTGTATGGTGAAAAGTTGGATATAAGTGGAACGATGGTTAAGTTAACAGGATTCCTAAAGCAATCAATTTTCCAGCAGACCACTCCATTTACTTATTGGCTGTATATATACTAGAAACTTGCACCATTTTAAAGGATTCGCAGTCATTTTGATCACACTGAATAATGTCTTGCCAATTTCTATATTTCACGGTTTCTAATGCGTGGCAGAGATAAAATAATGTAAGTAATTTTTTAGCTTCAGAATGACACTTCTTTTATAATTGAATTGGGATTTTGAAGTTGATTTGTTCAGCTTTAGAAATAGTTAATTATATTTAAGAGGTGTCATTCTTTGTCTAAATTCAGTGAAAGACCTTATATATTTATTTAGTCATACTTAGCAGGCTGGGAACAGTCCCTTGATATGTTTTATTGATTTTGCACATCTTTTGATGAATTTCAATGATTTCTAAACTTTTCCAACGACTGTTTCTGAGAAGTTTAAATATTGTGAAAATGTTATATATTGGGCACACTCAGTTGTTGAAATAAACGGGTTTAAGTTTTATGTATTGATCATGTCTGTCACGACTTTCTTATGGTGTTCCAACCTGTTGAGTCTATGCTGAAAGTAAAACGTTTACAGAGTCTTCCTCCTAAATAACATTCTTTGACAATTGCAAGGAACTTGTGTCTGTTCATTTTTAAGTCATTTCTACATTTGCTTATCCTGGAGAGTATCATAGAAGATTGGATATTGAATTGACTGATAATCTCAGTCACACTCAATTAATTTCAAAAACATTATTTACTTTTCAAACATTTGAAGATCAAAAAGCAGGAAACATTTTCAAAACTTCAAAGTGGAGGTAACAAGAATTGTCTTCTTTTTTTTTTTTTTTTTGGTTGAATTTGTGGAATATTTGTCAATGTCCATGATGCCATGTTCTTATTAGGTTTGTGGTTTAATTGATCAACATTTCTACATAAATAGAATGAAACAGCAATAAATAATCTTGTTTAATACTTGATTAATTCCAGTATCACAAGTTCCCAATCAGCCATGTGTAATACCAGAGGAGTACCATGGTGACTGGTATACACAAGAAGCTGGTGTTGACACACAGACAATTGTCAATGCTGAGAAATGGGAGATACAAGGAAGTAATGCCAAGACACTGCAGTGTACAGATATGCATATTCATCCCTTCACTGGAATAACTGTCCAGGATGGCCGTAATGCAACCATGCTCATGAAAGAAATGTAAATCTACAAATACGCCATAACATGTTTTTCTATTTGTTGTAGTTGCAAGTTTATTTAACAGTTAAAGGATTTAAAGACATTTTACACAAAGTTTATCTGGGATATTTGTGACTTTTAAAACATTTTTTTTATATATATGGTACAAAAGTGTGACAGCTTCAAAGGACATTAATGATCTTGCTTTTAGATTTCTTTTACCCAGTTAATTTTTTTACAATCTTTTATTTTCTTTTAACACAAAGTTTGTATAGAAACAAAATAAAATATTTGAAAAATGATTCAATGTTGAGTTAAGAATCAATTCTGAGTGTTTTTCTCTGTAACAATCAACAGATATAAATACTTGTCCACTCTGCTTTTAATACAACTGATTACACTAACACAATGGCTTTATGTTTTCCCTAGGAACGTGGCACCAGGTACAACTGTATGTTTCTTCTGTGTTGATGTGCTCTGGAGAACTCCTAACATCCTACAATACAGGAAAGGTATCTATCCACCAGTAATTTCCCTTGTCTTCTAATAAGCCCACCCCTGACTTTGAATCAGACTATGTAACCTGCTTTAAAATTTTATATTTTATTTCATATAAACTAATAATATTTCATGCCATATTACAAATTGAATTTTATTTTCTGTTACTCAGAGGACTGTGTGAGATCTGGCTCTGGATTTGATATCAGTTTGAATGCATCATGTAAAGGAATGAAGGCTAACTATGGTCTTCCTACAACAGATGATGCCATCACCATGTTTCGTAAGTACTTTGAATATTAACAATTAATTAATTGTTAACAATTAACAAAACAAGGTCTACTGAACATCATGCTGCATAAAAAGAATACCTACAGATTACACTGACAAATACTAAAAACCAGTGAGATCATTATCCTGCATTACTTTATACAGCAAGTAAATTTTCCAAAACTTATAAATTTTATTGAAAATAAAAATGATTTAGGTAATCTGACCCAAAGGGAATGTATGATCTATAGCCATCCTGTTTCATCTGTTGTTGTCCACCATCCATAAGCGTTCCATGCTGTAAACTTCTTAAGGTCCACCAACTAGGTTTAGCTCATGTCTGGGTCAGTCTGTAATTCAGTGTGGTCAAACTCCAGAAAAATACATTAATTTTCTCCAGTTTCACTGCTGTCATTGAGCTGAACATTGGGGAAGATGTTAAGGAAAAGAATTTATTTTTCGACTTTTTCAAAACGCAGTAGTCATGATTGCCATTTTCTAACACTTCTTTTAAACTTCTGCTCAAGTTCTAACATTGGTTGATTTAGCTCAAACTTGTCTGAAATGATCCTGAGATGTTCTGAAATAGTGTTATTGGTTTTTTCTCCATTACTGCCAGAATTCAGTTTTGTTTTATTAATTGATCCCACTGTTGTTATAGAGATGTTTAGATTAGATGGCTGTTAAGATCCATGGGCCTTTTGTTCTATTCTCACATCTTTAACAATCCAAAATGGTACTAATTACCTTATTAACAGTACTGTGGTCAGGCATAATAGATTTCATTATAAGTGTATGTTTATTTTAATTTTTCCAACTAATGCAGGTCTGGCTCCAAAGAAAGTGAACTGTATTTCGACATTTGAGGGTGTGTACCAGTTTTCATATGAAGTAGATGTTGGTGGTGGAGGTATCTGTAACAACCCTCTAAGTCAGATAGAGGCGTGTCAAGATCCTGGATCAGCATACGTTGATAACGAAGTCTTCATGATGACCTACGCAAAATGTCCGGATGTCTCAACTTCCAGGAATGAACGTAAGCATCTTTTTTACTAAGAAAATTATTTTATAGATGTTTAACTGTAAGTATGGTCCAGCATTAAAGTTAATCATACATAGCATTACACATAATTAGATTTTGGTATATTATGTAATGCCAACAAGCTCAATTAAATCATTATAATGCTGCATTTATACCTCCTAAATTTAAACTTACTTGGAAAAAAATGATGTGAAGTATGAAGCAAAAAAATGTGAAGTTTTACAAGATAGATTCATTTAGAAAACTTGTCGTGAATTGACAAATTTGCATTTGTTTTTTAGTTTTTGGAAACTTAATTCCAATCAATGGATACCTAGTGTGCCTGGAGAATTGACATTTAATTTTGGTTTTTAGAGACTCGCTACCAATGTATGGGTACCTGGTTTGCCAGGAGGAGTGGACGAGGTTACACATATGCTGCTATAGCTGATACTGTAGAGAAAGACACAAGAGAGAAGTTTAAGTGTCTCGTAAGTTTACTGTGTGTTGATGTCTTCCTAAATTGCCAAACTTACATACATATTTGAAGTTTATTACAATGGTTACTACCTTGTCCTTAAGTAAATAAAATACCACAGAATTCTACGATTATGGTTGAAGATTTGTTGTATTTTGAACATAAAATGTTTATGTGTACATTTTTCTGTAGTTTCCACTCAATACATTATTTCATTTATGTTGATGTTCATGTCTGTTACATCACTTTATACATAGTTCTTTAAAGGCTTATTCATAACACTTTTTTGGTGTTTTTTGATAGATAAAAAAACAACAAAAGATTCTTCGCAACAAACATTTCATGCTGCACAGTATATCTCTGTGATCAGTTGAAATGTTTGAACCTTCATGATCTCTAAATTTCTGACACTTACTGTTTAGATAAAAAGTAACCACAAAAATAGCTTGTAACATATGTACTAAATAAAATACCTTCAGAATTTGTAAAAATTCCCAATTAAAAAAATTGTATACAATGTGATCTTATTAAATCCTTTTTATTTCTTACTGGAGAAAATGACTTATAAGGTGGACAGTTTGTTGGCTTAAATTTATAGATAATATCCTTATGATACCTGATTAAATTGAAGTTGAAAACATTGAGAGTTCAGTCCAGGTGACTTTTGTGGAAACTTGATCTTTATGTTAATGCTATTTTAAAAACATTTTAAATTCCTTCCTGAACAGATGACATTGAAGAATCAGAAAGATGCTAACAACCAGATCCGATGGGTGATGTCCAGGTTTCCTGACTGCTCTAAACTTAATAGTATCTACAACGGTCCAACCAAGTTTGTCCTCACCAGAAGTAAGTTCTTTCAACATGCAGGGGTCTAGATTAGCCTTGTTATAGTGTAGGTGTGTTTCAGATGGTTATAGCTTCGAGTGTAAGATGTCTGGACCTAGTTGTTGATAGCATTGAATGACTATTGATTTACAGTCATCGATACGCTGAGATACTTCAGGACCTTACTAATGTATCTGAAGAAAGATCACCTATCATATAGACCAGAGTATTTAAAGGATGTAATGAGTTTGCTCAAATTTTTAACTGTTATTGTGTAATGTATTGTGTTCTCTTCGCATATATAGGTATAAGTGTACCAATGTTATCATGTTATTTCATGTTAGTTTGATCTTATTGGTGGATTAAGGATTAAGGTCTCCTGACACAGCTTTGTGAGTTTTTTTTATATTTTATTGGATATTTGATCCTCAGCCTTAGGGCCTGGTAATATTGAATTATTTGATTGTAATATACGTTGAATTTGTTTTATTTTTATGTTGTTGGTCCAAAACTGATCTTTTGTTCTTTCCATCCTCAGTTCCACCTGTATCTGACTACATGACACCAAAATGTAACCTACCGCGAAACATCACTGGTACCTGGTTCACCCAGGGGGATGCATACCGATCCAATGTCAAGATCAACGAAACTCACATCACTTTCAAAACTGCAATCAATGAATTTGAGTACCAAGAAGTGTTCTACTCATGTCAGCAAACACTTGGTACTCGTTTCCTCATGACCAAGGTCACAGTCGGCAAATGGTGAGATTCTATGTCTGGTAACTGCAATTTGATTCACAAGAAAATTCTGGTTTCTTTTCCATTTTTATGGATTTTCATATAGAATATATAGCAATTATTTTTGCTTAATTTCAATATAGATATTATCATAGATAGGTTTTAATAGTGCTACTTTATAAATAAGAGAGTTCGATCATTAAAGGTGACTGTAGAACAAGTAGCTCCCCTTATCTGTATACCTAGGCCTCATTTGAAGAATGATTTTATTTGACAGTAATAATTTTATTGAGATAAGGATTCATCCTGGCAAAGTTTCTATATCTGTGCAAGGGTGATAAACGAAGACATTTTTTTTTTCCCTATAGAGATATAAATAATCCCTCATTTCAAATTTGATATGGATCACTCTATCTGAGATGACATAGAGATAATAGATATGGTGACTGTGAAACTGATTCCATTGTTTGGTTTTTGAATATTCCAGTGAGAAGGATTTTGTGTGTTTTGACCTGATGCCACGACATCACAGCATTGTGAGGTACAGAGTTGGTAAACCAAACAGATTGACGGAGGATGAGAAAGCTGACCCTAATTATCTCACCAAGAAGTTTCGTGAGGCCTGCAGCTGGATGTCCTTCACCTTTAACCGTGACGACACAGATTGGAAATATAACGTCCTTATTTGTACGTTTCAAAATAGTCAAATTTGAACTGAATATACTTTTGTCAAATAATATAGCGTAGATGATCTCAAAATGTATCAGAATCTTTATTAGAACTTTGAAATACCTGTTTTCTTAATTTTAGATACAAGGCACTTCTCTGACACTCTTCTGTAATATTTATTTGTATTTTATATTATGACTGCAACGGTGTCCAATTGAATTTTCCATGAATATATGAAATTTTAGTCAATTTTTCAAAAAAAAAAAGTTGTTTTGTTGAAAATTATAGAACACATTCATAAACAAACATAACTTCAAAAGATAATGATGCTACTGATTAATGATTTCACCTAGAAGGGAATTTAAGATGAAGTTGCTGAAAGAAATTAAAAATATTCTTAAACTGGAGGATTTTGGAACAAATACTTTTAGAGATCAACTTCTGGCTGTTGGTTCTCCTTACTGAAATAAGAAATACATATACAGAGTTGCCACTTCAATTTGCTTCCTGATATTGACCTAGAGCAATTCTTACTTTTTATTCTTAACAATATATTTTGTAAACTTTAGAAAGGCAGTTCATAAGTTGATTAACATCCTTTGCATATTCGAACTTAGTCTCTGCAAATCAGTGTACAATATTAATTTTTACTTTCTTCAAAATTGATTAATTCATCATGGAATATTTTTGATTTCAGTGAACCCACCTTCTCCTGTTCCCTGCCCAGTAGCTGGTAGATACCAGTTTGAACAAATGGCTTCCCGTCAAGAAGAGAAATATTCCACCCGTATTCGAGGTGTTACTAAGAAACCTCGTGTTCAAGTTGACTGTCGAATTATTGTATCAGAAATGAAGTCATGCTCCAATGATATGACAAAGATTGAAGTTGATGCTGAGTACTGTGAAACTGTTGACTACAGAGGCAGACCAATTGGAGAATATGGTAAGTGACAGTAACAGAGCACATCTGGATGACTTTTGAACCCTAATATGATACCAAACTTGTCTGGATAATCTTTGAACCCCAATGTGCTGGTAGACACCTCTAAATAATACCTGATCATTCTTGTCAAGATACTGTTGATCATGAGACTACAGTGTCTTGATTAGAGGACATTGTTTTGTATTCAAAATAATTAGAGCATCTCGAGAACGTCCTTTGATATTCATGTTTCCTGTAAGAATGTTGTTTGATAGCTAAATTAAAATCCTTTTCCATCCAATTAGTTATGTCCTTCTGGTCCCAGTTGTTCAAAGCATGATTAGAGTTAAACCAGTCGGTTGTGTCCTTCTGGTCCCAGTTGTTCGAAGCATGATTAGAGTTAAACCAGTCAGTTTTGAATATTTTCAAATATTAATTTGAATTTGTGTCTCTCTTTTTTTTTATTGAAAGTCCTTTTTTTCTCTAGTAACATTTATTGTTTGTATTATTACCATTGGTTTTAACTGATGTGTTTTTGAAGTATTAAAACATACCAATTGTAATATCACCAATCATTTCTAAACATGTCTATCAAGAACTTATGTAAATTGTAAAGGCCATAAAGGCTAAACGTTTTCCCCATAGTCATTACAAATATCTTTATTATAGATGTGTCTGATCACATACTGATGTGTGTGGGATTCTGGATGGAAGACTATCGATCTTACCTCATTACTTGGGATGAAGAGGATGCTATCTCTGCCTTCAGATGTTGGGTAAGTGTAAATCTGTCTTATTTCTCGCATTACAAATAATCTGAACTCAAACAACCTCATTAATTTTGGGGAAAATGTGAAAATAGAAAAGCAATTATTGTCAGTCTGTTAAGATAGCAGAACTTACAATTAGCGCATTTGAGAGATTAAAAAAAAAACCCATATGCACTAGCAGCAACACCTGAAGCTTTCTTGTCCTGGAACTTACATGAAACTGGATGTTTCAGACTACCCAGCTGTATAAATTGTTTCTGACTTCTACATGGATGTTCAGACATCCTGAGTCACGAGATCAGTGGTTTCTTCTTCATTATAACTTCATCAATAATCATTTTCTCATTGAATTTTTATAAATACCCACAGCAAATGTAGGCAGGGGCTAAATATTTGGATTCTACCTGTCTGGTGGCGTTTTGAGAGCATATCTCTTACACCATTCAAGATAACTTTTATGCACACACCAACCAAGTGATCTAGCAGTGCTATTTTAAATTTAACTGCTGAGCAGAGCTCAGTTAATGGTTCCATGGTTACCACAGAAACAAATAGTCAAAATCAATTATTTCAGCATTTTTGGAGTGTTTCTCCAAAATCATTTAAGACAACTCCATGAAACTTCTATACCCATCAACCAAGTGGCCTTCTGCTATGGGGGAATCTCTAGTGTTGTTATTTTGTTTGGTTGAATTAGAAACAAGTCATTAATATCACATCTCAGGAGCATATCTCTTGAACCAAGTGGTCTAATGGTGCCTTCTGCTATAGGGCTGTTTTCAGTTTTGATATTTTTTTATTACTATGGTAACAGTCAAATTCAATTATTCCAAGGTTTTCAGAACATATTGCCAAAACCGTATATATTATCAAATGATCAATTAGACCTTGATCATCACTTCTGTTTGATCATTCACTATAAACATTGTAATCTTCGCCTCTGACTGGGCCATTGGTGTTGGAATTGAAAGGATGTGTCCATGTTGGTCTTTAAATTCTAACATCTAACTTCTAGGTTTATGAGCGAACTAGCTGGACAGATGTGATGATGTCCCGATCCCAAAATGCTCGTTGTCCTAGAGCACAAACTGCCCAAGATTACATGATGGCAGGAACTGGTCTCTCTCTCCGCATGACAGAGTCCGAAAGGCTGTGTAAGTATCCATAACTGTCCCATCTACATAATATAATCAGAAAAGCTGTTCAGATATTGGTAATACCTCCCTCCGCATGACAGATTTAAGTAAGCTATGTAAGTATTGGTAACCCCTCCCTCCACATGACAGATTTAAGTAAGCTATGTAAGTATTGGTAACCCCTCCCTCCACATGACATGATCAAAAATTACTGGTAATCCTTCTCTTTAAATGACCTGGGGAATAAGCAAGAATATCATTTGCATGGAAAAATATTATATATTTGAAAAATGGAATGTATATAATATTATGTTGATTTAAAAGGAAAGATTTTGACATCATATGTAAAGATTTAACATTATCCAAATTTTCATCCTTTTTTTTCTCTCCCACAGTTGATGACTGTCCACAGAGATTTGACCCTGGCATCAATCCTTACAAGAAGCCTACCACAATCTATGTCCTCAGCAAATCTAATGCAGTTTCTCCATCTAAATTCTTCCTCGTCTTGGCAGCTTGTCTTCTGTTCTTCATTCACTAACTTCTGTACATGTTCTTCATTATCAGGCCAATTTCATAGATTCATAAATATCAGAGACAATCTGAGTTTAAATTTCAGATAAGTCATCTTGAAGATGACGTGTATTGTGTGTAATATGTAACTTTACACAAGGTTGTCAAGGTCGGGAAAATGTCGTTTTGATACTACAAACAGATTCCATTATGAATTCTGAAATAATTTGGTGATTTAAGTACCATTGAATATTAAATTGAGAATTAACCTTAATAGGAGATATTCTTACAGATCGGTTAATTGATGTGTTATCCTGTGCTGGTTGTGATAATCTCTTACTGCAGTGTCAGACAATTTTCCAACAGATGCATTCCAAGTTAAAAAAAGTATTCTGTTTATCACAAATAAGGGCAGATATGTTTTCAAATCTAGTTATTTTTTAAATGAACCTCGTTCCACAAAAAATTAGAACAAAACTAAAAAGAGTTCATTAAAAGCTAAGTATCATTTGGACATTTTTTGTTGATGTATGTATGAATTATTTAACAAAGTTCACCCAGATTTCTGAGAATTCTGATTTTCTTGTATCCTTATGTTTGTAATCTCATTTTATTGTATCTTTTATGATGGTAATATTTTAGTCAGGGAAAAAGACAGTTGAATGTATTTGTACACAAGGGGGGATGTATAACACCTCTCTGCATTTTGTTTGGAACGGATTAAATCGTTGAAAAATGCCTGAGCTGTCCCATCGAGGAAACCGCCTTTATTTGAAGAGCTGTACCTTTAATTAAAAAATAGTAACAGTTCCTGATCAAGGTCAGTTTGCCATGAAAGGTTTGTTGAATGACAAAAATACATTATCTTATTAAAGGAATGTTATAGATGTACTTGGAATAAATTCACATATCATTGGTGTGTATATGTCTATTTTTAGAAACATTTTTTGTTAAATGAAGCAGAGGATGGTACAGTCTATATATGTGAATGTGTGAATGTTGTTGTTGAAAGATGAAAAAATGTAAAATATTTTTAGATGAATGAAAAAATTGTTGAAAGAGATTTAGAACTGTGTGTATGAGCATATTTGAAGTGATTATTGTGCTATATTGTATGTTAATGAACAATGTAATTATGTAAATAATCCTAATCAGTTACATGACAAGTTAAATGGATTTAAAAGATGTATATATGTGTCGGAAAATGAGCGAGATTCTACTTAAACATGCGTCTAAATTCATTGACACTTGACATGACTGAATATCAATGATTGAATTAATACAAAAGAAATCAATGTCATGAAATGAAATAAAAGTTCAAACTCTGATATGATTTATTAATACTAGTTATTAAATTTCACAGGTATATCCTAAATTCTTAACTTTTATTAATGTGAAGTGAGAAGGTTAATTGTCTTCCCTGGAAATCAAAAGGCTTCAATCTCCAAACATGACATTGAAGTTAGTAGTTTTTCTTGTTTTCGGAAAGAAATGTGAAATTTTATGAAGAAATTAATCTTTGAAGGTAATGTTAATTATTTCTCGGATCAAAAATGTAAAGACATCTGTTATTGTAACAATTTCATTCCTTGTACATAAAAACTTGCTATTTGTGATACTATACAGTCCTGTATATAACTCGGTGCCATCTTGTACATAAAATGCATCATTCATCATTTCAGGTTATCTATCTAGCTGCAAGATAAAAATCTCCATTTTATCAATATCTATAGACCAGATTAGTGTACTGTTTGAAAAATTTTATTTTATGATTAAGTAATTACAGAAAACAAGTTGGGTTCTGTATTTCCCATATATTTTAATTTTAATGCAATAAAAAATTAACATTCGCAGTTGAACATTGCACATTTAGGTAAACATTTACGAGATTTCTGAGGGAAAAAAAAATATTATTGATAATTTTGTGTCTAAAATAGTGAAGAATATTTGTTTTATGACATTAGCCTGAATGTAGTTTTTTTAACACAGACATATATAGTCTTACCACTAATTATATGCCTAATATTTCAGGACAGTTTATAAGGAGAAACAGAATAATGTACAGATGTCTTGAATCCGAAATTTTGTCAATGAATCATAACATTTTATACATACTTTTCTTAATAAAATCTTGTTATATAAAAATGTTTTTGTTATAATATATATACACTCCTCCAGTTGTCATCACCTTCCTAGTATTATTTATTTCTACTTGTGCCTTTTTCAAGACAAAAGGATTTCCTGTCGTGTCCACAAAGCATTAACATCAACTCTTAACATAACATGGAGACTCAAAATGTATAAACCAGTGAACCCTAGCAAACGGTTCACATATATCTCTCAGTATACAGTTATCAAAGAAAACTCGCACAAAGTATCTCTTTCTTGTATTTTCTTTAATGCTTTTTTAATGTACCTGATGTTTTATTAATATCATCCTTATCAATGTACACGTGCATTGTGTATCATTTAGTGTGAGACAAAACAAGGGACATAACTCAAGATGAAATGGGACATAACTATTACACAAAAGATAAATCATAAATTAAAGACGATTATACAGTAGCTGCTAATAAAAACTGCCGACTTGGGCCCGGTTTGTCAACCACCATAAGCTTATTGACATGCTAAAATTTCAATCTTCATAAACAGTGTATTTGTATCTGAATTCCAGATAACTACTAACACATACAATAACAGAAAGTTCTCAATCTAAATATAAAACAAATCATTAAGCTTTTGACGCTTGCTACCACAAGGTCCAATATTCCTCTACAAATACTGTGCAAATGTGTTAGGAGAAATAATTAACAAATAAATACTGAGAGATTCCAACACCAACAGTATCTCTATATAGCAAGACTGTCATACACTACTATATTTGTTATACAGTGTAGTGCAGCGTATGTCTGATACCTATTTCATACTGTATATATTCCATAACAAAATAAAGAAAACATCAATGTATTGGCTGGTTTTAGATTATTTATCAATATAAAGTGTCCACCTTGAGTTTTGAACCCTCAAAAAAAACCACAGCCTTGTCTTTGTTGACCTCCGTGCAGAGTTTGATTAATACATACATCTCTTAAGAAATGAAGACATTGACTTAGAAAAGGATGGGACTGACATGTTACTGGATAACACTACTAGCACCCCCTTCCCCTTCACACACACATACACACACACCAAAACATACACACCACCAACAACCAACATCAAATGGCATTGGGGCAGTAACACCAATACTGAAGGTTATCAAAAACAATCACTACAACAAGATGTTTAACACAATCTGTACTGATAATTGCATAATGTACTGATAATAGCAACATTTTAAATGAACAAGATTTTTCATACATATTTTGTTGAATTGGCAAAATTGCTGGAGCTCAGCCATTGTATTGCCCTTTTTGTCTGTCTGGTGGACTTTTAGAGAAAATGTTTGGCAGGTTCACTTCATAAATTGACAATCTGTCACAATTTTGTAAATAGGTGTTGGTTGATTTTTTGAAGATAAATACAATTATACCACGACATCAAATAAGTATCACTTTTTAAGTCAAATGAAAATAGGAGAAAACAGCATTTGAACACTATCAAGAAAGCTGAATTTGAGGCCAAGCAAAAGGTAGAAATATCTTGATGACAAACTATACATTAGGTTTACCCAGTACCTAACTTATGAAAATAGGAGAAAACAGCATTTGAACACTATCAAGAAAGCTGAATTTGAGGCCAAGCAAAAGGTAGAAATATCTTGATGACAAACTATACATTAGGTTTACCCAGTACCTAACTTTTACTACAATAGTCATCATATTGCTTGGCAAATTTTTTTACTGAGAAAAAACGTTTACATGATTAGTCCCTGCCCTTCCTGTTTAACAGGATATTAAAAATATTCTTACAAGACTGAACATATTTTTCAGATATAAATCTGGTGGTCAGACACAATTTTATACATGACATATTAGGTATTATAAGATAAGGCCAATCAGTACAAAAACTGTTTTATGACAAGGAGACCCTGCAGCTTCTGGACCACAGTAACAGATACTGTGTAGTACACCATAATCATTAAATTACAATCTATGTAATAATAAAATAAAAAAGCCTTCACCTTTAATTTCTTGCAATATAAGCAAATTTGCAATGTCTATAAGTTGCCTACCCTTCCAATTCTGGCAGTGCTAACAAATATAAATATGTACGTTTTGCCACTGTAAACCATTTGTGTGCAAGGATAGTCAACAGGTAAAATTATATCGCTGCTGAAATATATATATATTTTCATTCAGCATGTGAAATCTTCATTAGTGTAAAAACTTTGACTAAAGAAAATATTCTATTTACAGTTCTATATAATTAAAATACTCTATAAACATTTAAGAAAATATGAGCATATCCTAAACAAAGGATGAATACAAACATTATTATTGGTATGCTTGCTTTCTACCCAAAATATTCACTGGGGTTGGTTGTTTGGTAACTGGTTTTCTGTCTTTGTGACACTACCACTACACATGCTCTCACTGATGAATGTCAAGAGCTCTAGTGACCTGATCATTAGTGAAGTAATCATAAAATCTACATGCCCTCACCAATAAAAGTCAAGAGCTATTTGTGACCTGATCATAAAATCTACAAGCTCATACTGATGAGTGTCAATAGCTCTAGTGACCTGATCATTAGTGAAGTAATCATAAAATCTACATGCTCTCACCGATAAGTGTCAAGAGCTCTAGTGACCTGATCATAAAATCTACATGCTCTCACTGATGAATGTCAAGAGCTCTAGTGACCTGATCATTAGTGAAGTAATCATAAAATCTACATGCCCTCACCAATAAAAGTCAAGAGCTATTTGTGACCTGATCATAAAATCTACAAGCTCATACCGATGAGTGTCAAGAGCTCTAGTGACCTGATCATAAAATCTACATGCTCTCACCGATGAATGTCAAGAGCTCTAGTGACCTGATTATTAGTGAAGTAATCATAAAATCTACATGCTCTCACCGATGAATGTCAAGAGCTCTAGTGACCTGATCATAAAATCTACATGCTCTCACCAATGAATGTCAAGAGCTCTAGTGACCTGATCATTAGTGAAGTAATCATAAATTCTACATGCTCTCACAGATGAATGTCAAGAGCTCTAGTGACCTGATTATTAGTGAAGTAATCATAAAATCTACATGCTCTCACCGATAAGTGTCAAGAGCTCTAGTGACCTGATCATAAAATCTACATGCTCTCACTGATGAATGTCAAGAGCTCTAGTGACCTGATCATTAGTGAAGTAATCATAAATTCTACATGCTCTCACCGATGAATGTCAAGAGCTCTAGTGACCTGATCATTAGTGATCATAAAATCTAACTGATTTTGATTGTTGTCCAATGTTTTACTGACTTTGATTTGTAGTGAATTGATTAAGATTAACCATGAAAGAGACAATGTACTAAGGTGTCACTTTTACTTAATCCTTGTTTAGAAGATGAAGCCCAAGCCTTCCCTAGCTTCCAGGAGACAGATAATATGAGATAGTGTGAGCTAACTTTTCTAACACTTGACTTAGAAAACAACCTTTAGTATTAGGACTGATCTGATTGCCCTTTCATGACAGGTTTCCCTTTTCAACCCTGATTTTACTGTGCCAGTTTACTTGATAAATATTCTAGTCCATGATGATGTCAATTAAGACAGGCTTCACTATATAAAGTAATACCAAACTTATCTTTCTGTCCCTGATAGAATCAAATTAAGAAGTTCAGGATTGTTTCATTAAACTTCAAAAGTTAGCAGCTTTTATAGAGACTCTGAATATAAAGGAAACTTCTCTCCCCATCATTACTTTCATGATAAGTAATTAAAACTTTAAATATTTATAACAAATTTGCCATTTTAAATCTTGAGACTAGACATCAACTTTGTACATCATAAAATCACAATTTCCTGTTTAAAGAAATTTGTTTCTCTCTAGATCATCATTTTTGAGACCACAAGTCCTTTTAAAGAACAAATTCATTCTGCATTAACCTGGAAAGGAAATAGTCCATTTCATTTCAAATGATTACCAAACATACTATGACTATTACATTTAGACCATTTGGGGTGAGTAAACCTAATTACATTATGAAATGTGCACACAACATTGTTACTGCTGTTAATTGAAAAACATGGCGTCCTTGTAGAATTCAGCAACTTAATTTACAATTAAAATTAAGGAAAAATATTGTGTTTATTCTGCTACACAACAACACTAGATATGTATGTGCATAATTTCTCACTCTAGAGGTATTACATTAAGTAAATTATGTGCGTACCTGAAGTGTATGGTTTACTGAACAAAGAAATTCAATAGATTGGGTTGAAGTGAGTCACTTATTCTATACAATACATGTCCATCTACAAAATGTCAAGCATTATCATAATCAACAGTATGTATGTACATGTATTATAAACATAATGCTTATTGAGTTGCATAAAATATGATCATTTGACCTGAGTAAATTACAAATATAAGTTGTATCGTAGAGACAGAGCAGTGACCATCTAAACCTTGTACATTCTCACTTATATACACTTTCCAATAAAACCCAATTTATAATCACTTTGCTACAGATTACAAACATGGAAAACTTGGTTTTTAAAATGAAAGCAAACTTTTCCAATTTCCAAAATGAAAAAAAACAAAAAAACAAAAAAACCCTTCCTGTTATATTGTATTTCCTTTAGTTTCAAACAAACTAAAATTGTATCTCCTTTTTAATAGTTTCAATCTCACTAAAAATCTAACATTTTATTAATATATCTTTATGTTCCTAAAATCTATTTACTGATCTGTACAGTCTACGACTTGACAAGCAAGAGTTACACATAAAAAAATATATCAATTTCATATATTTTTCCTTTGTGTCAAAATATCTTTTTGGCACAATCAGGTCATATTGTTCAAAATCTCCAATCAATGTTTCTCAGCAGCTTGAATACTTCAAGGAATCAATCATGTTTGGAACATTCTTTATTTCACAGATTACCTATATATCTTAAATCACCTGCCTAAATGTTCAAGTATCTGTTTTCTAATGACTTGTCAACAACAGTAACCATAACGTTAGCAGCAACAATTGCAAAAAAGCTTGAAATTAGTTAATTGTTCTTAACTGTGTTCTGTCTACTGTTAGTGTGAAATCTGTAGATGTTCCGAGAAAGATGAATCAACTTATGCCAAATTTGTTATGATTGATTGCCTTTCTTACTTTGTCCCTTTACTTCAATTGCCCTGTATACTGAGAGGTATCTAAATTGGAGGTATAAGGAGCCAACCAAACCCTTATTAAAGCATCAACTCTATCCTTGTTTCTACAAATGTAATCATTTTACATTTACAAAAGGGTGAGAATGAACCTTTAGAATTAACAGATATAATTTTTAAAAAATCAAAATAAACTCAGGTAACCATTTTTTTTACTTGATAAAGAAAATTTGTGTAAAAAAAAAAAAAACTTTCTCAAGAATAATTTACCATCAACATTTAAACCCATAAAAAAATATGCATGAGTACATTCCAACTTGACACATGTAACCAACTTTTTCACCTCCATATCAGAAAAGTCTGTTTCTTTCTCAGTAATGTATTAAGCATTCATTACACACAATATATTTCACACACACATCCACACAAGAATATTTCATAATAAAGCACCAAAAGTTGGTATAAAATATGAAAAATTTGATTGATGAATTCAGAAGTGGTCATACATGTGATTTTTTGTGTGTTGTAATTCTACTGACAATAATCTGGTTTATGTTATGTTGCCTTTACATATGAGTGTATATTATGATATACTCACATCCCGAATCCTTGCTATGTGTATAGAAGACATCTAACAGTAATACATGTACAAATTCCTGGTAATGTTAAGTGGTATCTTTTTATCTTGATATGTGATAGCATTACAGCGATGTGAATGTCAAACTCCATGTTCTCCAGATTTCTCCTAGTATTCATATATCTGTCTCTAATTGAGTGTCATGTTTGAATTTTCCTTATGTGACAAGAGTGAAGTTCTACGCCTCGCCTTCTCGTGAATGGTAGTAGTCCGACACAAGTTTTGACCCATTGATGCCACGCACCGTTATCTTACTGGGCCTCACCAACAAGCCATGGTCTGGTTTACATGAAAAGTAACGTTTGTCCTGAACACATCCATCATTTTTACCCTTGGCTGTCCGAAGTTCTACACCCACCCAGATGCCGTCGCCAAAGTCAGCTGGACCAATGTAACGCACTGTCCCTGTGAACATAAACATATAACAACATTTGAGCCATTCGCCCGTCATTTAATTACTACTCGCTCATTTCTGGCTTTAAAACTCTTTGAGAATTTTTCCTCCATTATGTATCTTGTTAACTTTTGTACATATGGTTAGTTGGTTTTAAATAGTGTTCATATTATTGTTTTGTATGTTACTGCTTCTTATCTTTGGTAAGTAAAGCTTTCCCCAATAACTTGTATGAGTCACGTTGCTTCTCATGATATGTAATCAGAGTCAAAAACTTCTCATAACTCTCCTATATTTGCTACTCCCAGTCCTGGAGTTAAGCCACTTCTTATGATTTTTCTAGTATCTCAGAGTCAAGTAGCTTCTCCAGTTTCCAATGGAGTCTAGTTTTTCTTTCAAGAGTTTTCTCTGACACACTTTAGGAGTGAAGTCACTTCTCTCACGTCTGTAGAGCCAAGCAACTAGAAACAGTTTTAATTTTATCTTTGTGCTTAATCTCATCTGTTTTCTAAAGAGTCAAGTTTGCAGTTTTTACATGTTTGTGTTTTACTTGGAGTGAGTAACCCCTGAAACACCAAAGAAATCATGTTTTTTCTAGACTATGTAGCAGATACATTAATAAACAATTTTTACCTTTACTGTTGCAGCTATATGATTGCTAGATCAAAATTTCTAAACATGTCTACCTACCTAATTCGCTATTACAAAAGACACTCATTCCAACTTCCAGCTTGAATGGTGCACTGGCACCAGGTATTCTGGCTAAGGACAGTCCACTTTTAGGTCTGAATATAATAAATCAAATACAGGTTTAGATTATTCGCACAATTTCCAGAATCTAAATAAAAAAAGTCAGAAGCACGACGATAAAAATTAATTATCATTGATCTATGGAAATTCATTCCAAGAAGTTTTTAGCAACAACTTGTTGCTTCCAATAGCAATCCCATGGAGACTTATTTTCTATTGATTGATGTACTTTTAGTAAGTCCAAAAAATACTTTTCATTAAAATATGCGGTATGCACATGAGCAGTGATAGCATCTGACATTGCAAGTTTGCTATCAGGGAGGTTTTATAGATAAATAGCAGGAACATATAATGAGAAAAATAACTTGGTCATTTACTTGTGTGAATTATATGTGGAAATAACTGAGCCAATTACATGAGTAGAGAGCAGAGTATGAACTGATCTGTCATTCCTTGTTTTGTATAGATCATGAGACAACAGTTTGCTTTGCACTATATCTATGTAATAATCTTATATTGTTTAAGGTATCTTGAAATGTATTAAATCTAATAAGTGTGGAAGAAATCAACTGAGCTTCTTTGGAATAAAACTTACCTTTTGATTGGAGTTTTTGCACGATTTTGGGAACTGAAGGGAACACCTGTAGTCAGAAAGATACCAAAAGATAGATTAATGGATATATGTTATCATGAAGTATGGATTAAAAGTGAATCAATATTTGATACTTGGCGATTATCACTGAAATGGAGGTGGAAAAGTCTGTTTGTTAGGATTACATCCTTTTTGTTCTTGAAACAACATAATCTAGCAATGAACCCCAATACCATCACTAAAATCCTCACATAAAGCAAGGGCTATGGCTTAATCAGTGAAACTTTATTTTTGCACTTCAAGTTGTAGCATCAAAATCTTGGATTTGACATAACACCTTCTCATTATGTACTTATTTACTGCTCTGTATACTGTGTAGTACCAGTCAAAGGTCCTATATGGAGGTAGCAATGCTCCCTTGCATGCATGCAACACAACACCCTCTCATTCATATGTGCACACCAATTCTGCATATGTAAAACAGGTGGCCCAATATTTTACTTACTGCTACTTGCACGTCTGTCAACTTTCTCTGAAACTGCACCCCAACTTATAGCATCAAGTGATTCATTGGAACTGAATCGTCGATCACCAAGTCTGTAACAGAGACCATTATAAAGGTATATATAAAAACAGGACTGTCTTTACTTAATTGGTAATTGAATTCAATCCTCTCCTTCATATAAAATCTTTTAAATTTAATCACAATCCCCACTCATAAACCAATTATAAAAATTACTGATTATCTCCCTTGGAGTATCAGAATTTACAATTCAAACATGGATATTCAATAACTTCTAAAAAGTCCATAAAGATGTTTACAAAACAATTCAATTGCAGTAATGGTAGCTTTTAGGTTACAATTTGATGTAAATTCTCTTATATGACTTACTTTTGTATGCGTGACAGAGGAGCAAACACACCATGTTTAGGTTTACAGTGAAAGTAGCGATCTGTATTGACAGACCCATCATTTTTCCCAACAGGACGGTCCAACTCTATACCATACCATATACCTAGTGATAACAATAACAAATATCAAATTAGAGAAAACTCTGCAGTATACACTACTTATCCAATCAATGAATTACATGTATTACAAACAAACTCACTGTGATGCAACTTTTAAAATTTATTTAATTTACGTTATATTTTTAAAAAAACTCCTTGAATCTATAAATCAGGTGTTCAAGATAAATCAAACCAAACAACCAAATTCTATTTTTACTAATTTTCTCTTTATATACCTGGTGCAAACTTCGCCTCCCCACAGAACCGAACTGTGCCCTTTCTCTGTCCAGCTACAATCACTCGATCTCCTAGGTCAATTTCAGCCAGATCTGCTATTGATGAAGTTCGACATTTCAGTCCTGTTTTACAAAAAAACATAAGAATTGAGAAAGGAAAACAAATTATTCGTTAGACTAAAACTCAAAAATACATTTTTCTTGTTATTTGGGATTTTGCTTAAAATCATTATTTTATAACCTTTTATTAGATGCACCCTAAGAAGTCCTTCTGTAACAACCATAAAATATTTTTTTGACAACCTTTAACTTATGTATGATCATTCCATATTAACAGTTCCTCCCTCCCCCATCTTTGCTTCTTGGTAACAAATTAATATTACTATTACTGATGAAAAATACAACTTTCACTTAAGTCCTTCTCCTTTTTAAATTTAAATGAGAGGAATTCAAATATATAATTATTCTTTATCTATTTTTACAATGTATGCATTATCTTCACTGCAAATATTTGAAACCAAAATATCACAACATCTTATAAATGATCAACTCTGGAATAGGATGGTATACCACTTTGGTGAATGTTTCTTGTACCTCTATGTTACAAAAATATATCCTGTATTTAAATTGTTTCTTGAGAAGGCTGAAAAACCTACTCTGGCTAATTCACATCTATAATGTAATTATTTTGCCCTAAAGTTGAAACCTACTTCAGACAATGATAAACCACTTACAGCTTTACTAAGTTTCTCAAATACTAGTCCAGTGACTTTTCTACAGAAAATGACATGATGCCTCACCCGATTGGGCTGGATATTTAACCTGAAGGCCTGGAAGGAAGTGGCAAAAATAATGGCAATTGACATCTATATGTCACAGACATATGCCTGTTCCCTGGGGCTTTTTTTTTAAATATCCTAATTACACGACTCAATAAAGAACTTGACCAGGTTATTATAGCATATTTCCTGACAGGGGGTTTCCTTTATTTCTTTAATTTATTAACTTTTGTCAGGAAGCTGAGATAATGGGTTATCCTGCACTGTCATATTTGTATCCTTGGGCAAGTGTTACCCCGAAATGCCCCACATGTTCATACATAGTGCTAAAGAAAACAAAAGAAAATGCATAAAAAACGACCCCATTGTCCATTGAAAAATAAACCTAGCAAACCGCCAAACTTACCAACATGAACATATTGCTATCATTCCCTTTATTTGCAGACATTTATTTTAACAATCCTTTTTTTAAAAAAACTACTATATACTTCCGCAACTAAGATGACTTTCAGCAATTTTCACTTCACAAGTTTATTTCTCTGAATCAGATCTATGTTGTATAACAATCATAGTTTATTATCTGTCCTCGTTTATGGTAATTAACTTTTATTAAATTAACTTAAATTACAAAATTAATAAATCATGCATAAAAGTTCATAAAAGTTAAAAATCAATACTTATATCCTATAAAGGTGCTGAATCACTTAACCTTAAGTCTTGAACTATTTTGTTTTACAATTTCAAAGTTAGTGAACAGTTTTACTGTATTGATATATAATGCTGTGTCATTATTCTCTCAGAAAATCTATCTACAGAATACAGTGACCACAGGGTAGATATTCATATTGCTGTGTCAACAACTTGCTTAGTATACACAAAGGCATTGCTGACAATCAACAAGTCTAATTAAGTTAATACAGATGGCCATGGTACAAGTTTTCCTTGAATTACTACAAAGTACCAGTTATATCATTCAGTTAAGAATGTGAAAACATCTCCATACATTATCAATGTGAAAAAAGCATGTTACACTGAAAATTGTTGTTACATCAATTAGCTGATAAGCCGGGGTACATTAGATTATTTAATTGTATACAGATTTGGGCGAGACTAAGTAACATTTGTGAGAATAAGCCGACATTTACCTCCGATTCTAAATCATTGGACTTGCTCAACTCAAATTATTGTGTATAGCATCTCTAGTATTTAGTAAGTAATCGTAAATAAAAACCTCCAGTTTTTGTAGTATCCACCAAACAATGAAAACAATTTCTTTCTGCGTATTCGAGCAATTAATGGACACTTTTGGAGAAAAGTGTATGGCTCTAAAAAGAGCCGTTTTGGCTGTAGTAAACAGTTTGAAGGCTGCAGACGGACGCGGTGTCTTGTTGCCTGGGCGGACAGTTATGGTGCTGGTCTGAATGCTGATGGCGATCAGACAAAGGGCGTGGGTGCCCCGTATTTGGTAGGAGAGATCTTCACGATCTTTGTTTTATGAAGATCACACACTGTCGTTAGCATCCGTAGCTGGGTCAGAATCAATATCCATGTTTTCTTCGTCCCAATCGTCATCATCGTCGTCACCATGAAGTGGACTGCTCAAGAATGATACGGGGTCGTTTTCGCCGAAATCGTCATTAAAATCATCATCATCTTCTGTTTCATTTCGTACTTGGCATCGTAAATCAGTAATTTCATCAGCTTTTGCCGAGGCGTATTCATAAAACATGTTTCGTACTCCCTCAGTGACCGCCATTCTCAGCCGGAGTGAATAGCGGAAAGACCGGCGATTTTCCTTGCTGGCTTTCTCGTAACGTCTTGATAATTCGTCAAGTTGTCTGTTTAGTGCAATGATTTCATCACATGCACGTTTGAACGATCGTTCGGCCTCCATAAGTTTGGTAGGAGCTGTGGACAGCAGAGAACTCATCTTGTCGCCTTCGTTGTTGATAGCAGTGTGATGTTTACCGCGCTTTATCTCGTTTGTCTTTACCGCTCTTTCCGGTCACGTGACCTATCATGTGACCACAATCCACTTTTTGACCAATGAGAGGCCCCGCCCGGGGTAATCTTGCTATCCTTGTGTATTCTAACCTGTCAACTGTTTACATATCCTAACTTCTTGTGCATAATATAATACACAGGGAACGTGAGGTGGAAATTGGACGATCCTTCTTGCAGAAAGTAAAAATCAATCTTATCTATACTTCATCTGAACAACAGAAAATTAACATCAATCTGTTGAGAGAGAGTTCTAGGTCTCTAATGTTAATCAATATTAAAACGTAGCCAAGGATGTACTGGAAGTACGACACTGATCAATCTAAAAATTGACTTCTGTCATTGCATAATTGAAATAAAAATTGTTATGGTTTGATTAGTGTTTGTTGTAATTAATTTGGAAAAAGGAGTAAAAAATCCAAATTATTGACTCTAACATTTAAGGGCTTTTCATATGGCCATTGAATTCATGAACTTTTTAAATTAAATAAACACTTGATGAAGCGATATATCTTAGTAAATTTATATGAAACAAAAGTCTTTATTTTCAAACTAAAACTTTATAAAATCATTGTATTTATCTTCCCCACTTTTGAACCAATGAACATACTGTGCTTCATAATATAAGTAACTTGTATCATACCTGCTGCTTTTACACCTGCCATGCATGGAGGTGTTTACTACCAACTACCAGCAGGCTACCTAGGTAAGCCACAGGTAATGATTTTCTTACCCCAGTAAATTATAGGTAACTGTCAATGTCTTTTCAACTTGTCACCAATTTAGTCACAGTCTTTATTTAATCAATCAATATATGCAAAATGCCCAAGACCATTGACCAGACCACATTGTGATACACTACATTGGCATTGATAGAGAACTGTTTTAACCAGAAATTAAGAGGGAAAAGAATACGCCACGCAAAATATTTTATAGTGGAAATAATTTTTTCTGGAAATTGTTTCAAGAATTCATTGACAAGAAGGTATCTCTCTCTTGATTAAATTTATTTGATATTACCAAATATTTTATAGATAGAAGAGAAAACATTATCCGTCATGCAGATGTGAATTGTCTTGATATATAATTGATTCATGTTTAAACACTTGGATACTTTCAACAGATATGTTTATATGCCTGGACACCGTCTACATGTACATGATGATGTCCTCTATATACATCTGGATACTGGACACTTGTACAGGATGATGTCATGTTTATACAACTGAACACCATCCACAGGTATTGGACGATGTCATGTTTATACAACTGAACATAATCCACAGGTATTGGATGATGTCATGTTTATACAACTGAACATAATCCACAGGTATTGGATGATGTCATGTTTATACAACTGAACACCATCCACAGGTATTGGATTATGTCATGTTTATACAACTGTATAGGATGATGTCATGTTTATACAACTGAACACCATCCACAGGTATTGGATTATGTCATGTTTATACAACTGTATAGGATGATGTCATGTTTATACAACTGAACACCATCCACAGGTATTGGATGATGTCATGTTTATACAACTGTATAGGATGATGTCATGTTTATACAACTGAACACCATCCACAGGTATTGGATGATGTCATGTTTATACAACTGAGCACCATCCACAGGTATTGGATTATGTCACACTTATACAACTGTATAGGATGATGTCATGTTTATACAACTGAACACCATCCACAGGTATTGGATGATGTCATGTTTATACAACTGAGCACCATCCACAGGTATTGGATTATGTCACACTTATACAACTGTATAGGATGATGTCATGTTTATACAACTGAACACCATCCACAGGTATTGGATTATGTCACACTTATACAACTGTATAGGATGATGTCATGTTTATACAACTGAACACCATCCACAGGTATTGGATGATGTCATGTTTATACAACTGAACATAATCCACAGGTATTGGATGATGTCATGTTTATACAACTGAACACCATCCACAGGTATTGGATGATGTCATGTTGATACAACTAAACACCATCCACAGGTATTGGATTATGTCATGTTTATACAACTGTATAGGATGATGTCATGTTTATACAACTGAACATAATCCACAGGTAACAGATGATGTCATGTTTATATACATGGACAATATCCACAGGTACAGGATTATGTCATGTTGTATACCAGAGTATTGTCCATAGGTACAGGATAAGGTTAAGAGAAGACCTTCCAGTTAGGTCACAATGAACCCTACTCTTTGAAGTATTTAATGGTAAGGCCCACTTAACCATAGCCTAGATATGGATCATTTAATGGTGGTATTTCAGTTATATGTCATATTCCAGGAACATTATTACGGCATCCAACTTGGTCCATTTTCCTGACTTGTGTACCATAAGTATTATCTTGTCTTACAAAGAGAATATCCAAAATAAGAACTAATTCATTGACTTTATAATGTAATTGCCTAGAAACTCATCAAGGCATATTATTTCTCTTAATCTTTCTTTTCAACCACTGCAACAACAAAAAATACTTCACTATTTTCATGCTAAAATTACAGATGCTTGTGGTACCCTAAAATATTAGTCTGGACTAGAATAAGTCTACTTTAAAACAAATTGGTCAATGACTCATTACAAAACATGTGTTCTCAGGGCTAATGAGGTTTAAAAATCAGGTTTGCATTGAAATCTACGTGAAAAGGGGTAGGGCAAACAATTCAAGCACCTTCAGGGATACAAGCAAAGCACACAAATATTCATCAGTATAGTATATACATTTCATTTCCTTTTTAAACCCATTAACATCTAGAAAATATAGGAGCTTTATATTATTTTTATTATTTTTCACATTTCATTGGTAAGACAAGAAAAAATAGATAGGAAGGAAAGATTTTGTTGTCATTTTCTAGCTAATAATTTTATTTCATAATGCTAAAAGATATTGCTTTTATCATAATGATCTTTCTCTTATGTACAATCTCCTACAGCTTACCAACACTATAGATTTACAGCAGCTTACATATAGCACATGTAAAAATATAATCAGTAAATGACGTGATTGGGATCTATCTTTCATTATTTTCATCAGAGTTATGCCCCTTCTTTCACTTTTAATTTAAACATATCCAGGGTAGTTGTTCACCAACACTTAAATTGGATTGTTATGTTTTGTCTTTGTACATTTACTCTCATTCATTTTCTTAACAAATATGTGATACTTTATTATCATGTAGCATCTTGAAGTAGTAAAACAACCTAGACTTAAACTTATACTTCAGCATTTTTTTTATTTGTTTATTGTTTTTCCTTATTTCATCTGTTTTTGTTTATAAGGGAGTACTATGGGGATATCATTATGCTAGTTATTCATTCTAACATCGAAGGTCAACATTGAAAACACCACTGGGACAGGATATAACAGAAGGCAACATTCTTCCTTTTTTTAACAGGAATTCATCAACATGGCATTCAAACTCAAATTACTCACCTGTACCATAAAGGGAGAGTGGTTTTATACCTGATTTATACAGTAATACATATTTAATGACAGATGTTAGCAAACATAGTCAAGTGAATGCATTTGCTTATTTGTATTACATTGAACATATAGATATCTGTACTTGATCAGTTTACTTTACATGCAATCATCTTAACAGTGTTTCAAAACACTGATCTGTGTTGATTGAATAATTGGTCAGCATATACTGACTCACTGACCTGTATTTACTGACAAGTTGACCTGTACTTACTGACCAGTTGACTAGTATTTACTGACTAACTGACCTGTATCTACTGACCAGTTGACTAGTATTTACTGACCCACTGACCTGTATCTACTGACCTGTTGACCTTTATCTACTGATCAGTTGACTAGTATATACTGTCCCACTGACCACAATCTACTTACCCACTGGTCAGTATTTACTGACCCACTGACCTGTATATACTGACCAGTTGACTAGTATTAACTGACCCACTGACCTGTATCTACTGACCAGTTGCCTAGTTTTACTGACCCACTGACCTGTATCTACTGACCAGTTGACTAGTATTTACTGACCCACTGACCTGTATCTACTGACCAGTTGACTAGTATTTACTGACCTGTATTTACTGACCAGTTGACTAGTATTTACTGACCCACTGACCTGTATCTACTGACCAGTTGACTAGTATTTACTGACCCACTGACCACAATCTACTTACCCAGTGGCCAGTATTTACTGACCCACTGGAAGTATCTACTGTATATATTGAGCCACCAACCAGTATCTTCTTACGCATTTACATTTATAAACTGACCCAATGACCAGTAACTGGCCAATATCAGCTGACCTGTAGATACTGACCTAATGAGTAGTATTTTCTGACCTAGAACTTGTATCTACTGACCCACTGACCTGTATTTACTGAACTACTTACCACTTACCAATAGATCTAAACCAGTCTGTGACCTGGATCTATTAACCTGGACCTACTGACCTCTGTCCTTGACACATAACCCCTTGCCTATACTTACTCTGAACTTGAGCTGCATTCCTTTAGATTTAGGTCTATTTTTTTAGTAAAACTTGAAGCCCTTAACATACCAATCAGTACTAACTCTGATCCTCAAATACCTTGGTCTGTCATGCACTAAACTAATTTCACTTAAATCTTGATCTTTTGTTTAATATGAACTTTGACTTTGCTTTACAGACCTGTGTCCACTCTGGCCTTGACATTGGAAACATTGACTGCTGCAGCTTTCTGCTGAGTTTTGTTAGGAGACATGGTAGCTGAAGGTGAGCGAGGGAGTGGTACTGTTCCTTGTTTAGCAATCTTACTAACTGGAGCAAAGATACCTAAAAAACAAACAATATGAAATTAACCTCCACACAACAAGCAGTGATTGTTTTAATTCGTAATTCTATCTAATCAATGACTTGATGTGTAAAAAATTTGTACCTACACATAATATATATAAATTTTTTTCAATTATCTAAAATTTGGCTCACCAAATTCTGTAAATAATAATGACCTACCATGGTTATTTGCACACTGAAAGTAGGAAATTCCACCAACACTGCCGTCATTTTTACCTCCGGGCTCATCTAATTCTATCCCAGCCCACAGACCTCCAGCAAACTCTGCTGGTCCACAGTATTTCAAGGTCCCAGTCTGGTGACAAAGAAAAAAGCCTTACAATGCCACTGGTTTGCTTAAATACAAAATAATCTTCCCAAAAGAACTGAAATCAAGCTCCATTTTCAGAAATGATGACCTTACACAAGAATGACAAAAGTCATGCAAGGGTATATGCGTATTCTACATACAATCCCGATCCCTAGCTTATCATGAGCGTCATTACATTCATGTTACTATGACAACAGACTAGGATCTCCTTTCCGACAGTTCTTTTAAATTAACCATGTAAACTATTGTGAACTGTGAGAAGAACTGATCAAAGTGTAAAATACTCAATTTTAGTGAGTACATTGTACTAGATTTGTGTGACAACCAGAAAACAATGTGAATTATTCATACAGTGAATATAACATAAGTTTCAAAACTTCAACATTTTTCATTTTTCTTAGAATAACAATTGATTAACCACTTAAATGAACTTTGATCATGTGAAACGAAAGGCTGAAAAAAAAATTCCATTATTGGCTTAAACAAAGTATGAGAATTTTTGTTAAATTTTATTTAATTGGAACCTCACCTTGACCCCTCCTACAACGACCTTGTCTCCCAGTGTGATCCCAAGAGCCTGCAGGGTGACCTTGGACTGGACAAGGTCATAGTTAGGGGGAGGAACCTTTATTGCTGGCTGACAGGATTCTTGTAGAGTCTTCTTGAGCTTGACCACCAATTTTGCCATTTCTGGATCGGAATCTAAATTGGTTGGATCTGGAATGCATTCTGAAAAGTCGAATAAAATATTTGTTTTTTCAAAATTTTGAACAACAAAAGCCATTTCACTTAATATTTTCTTTGAGGTCACAATTTTTCTTCTGGACTTTAAATTAAAAATCTTAGGATGCCAGCAAAACTTAATATGATAACTCGCATAAAAATTAATGTTCATTGTCTTTTCGGGAAAGATGTTGTGTCCATGTCAAATATGCACATTCAGGAGAACAACCTGCTATGTTATGGTGAAATGTGAGTTCTGTTCTGGGAACATGTATAATGTCATGTATGTGACACAAATCATGCTGCGAATCATGATGAATCTTGAATGGTCATGTTAACTCCTGAGAACTCTTAGGAAGACATTTACATATGAACAAATCAAAGTGGAAATAGTAGAATGTAGAAATTTTCAAGAGCATGGTAATTCATGGTGATAGTAGAAAACTGCAATGTCCAGTCTGGTTGTACAATGAACGTGACAAAGCTTGTCAGCTTGAGAGAGATTTGGTTTTATGTTGCTAAATGTCCTATCAACCACTGTTTGATTTAAATTTGGTGGAACATACTAACGTTGTAGATAATAATATTTGAGCCACATCAACTCACAATGCAACAGCACTTATTTCCCTATATTATCATGTAAGGACATAATCTAATTGCAACAGAATGTTGTAAGAGTTTTGTGCAATTGTTCTGGAACAGATTCTGTGGTTTTCAGCTCCATTCACCCATGACCAACCATGTCTGGGCTGGTTGGATAAGAATGGCTAAGAGTGTGGCCCAGAGCTTGTATATGTAACTAGAGCTTACATGATTCTACTGCGAGTCTTTAGTGCAAACTAATATGTTAATGACTAAATGGTAAAATATCATGAATGGATCACCAAATTGATATTAGATTGTTTTCCATTTTTTATGGAAAAAAAAAAAATTTTAAGCCCAACATTTAACCCTGACAAAGCTTTATGCTTTTAGACAACATTATTAATTTCAATTGTTTTGCAAAAGTATTTTATACCTATTGGACCACGGCCCATGTCATCCTTCATCATAGGATTAGCACCATTCTGGAGTAATACTTTAACAGCTTCGTATGCCAGATTGGACGCAGCAATATGTAAGGAACTGCCATGGTCAAACTCTGAACACGTACTGTCTATATCTGTGGAGAACAAACAGGGTACAATTGTATGTGTTAGAAACTACCATCCACTTTAATGAACTTTATAAAACGAGATAGCAAATATTTTATACAACACATGGACGCCTGATGGAAAGCTTTCGTAGATTTTGTAAACAAAAAGGAGAGAACCTAACACTAGCAGTTAACATAAAGAGACCGCATCTAAAGTTGTAGTGTTATTTATAAGGTCAGTACCGGTAAAGGTGGTGTATTTGTTTCAAAAGAAAGATATTACCTAAAGCTTTTGTAGTTTTGAGCAGGACTTTTATCACAGGTACAACATCAAAGTAGGCTGCATAATGGAGGGCAGTCATATTGGTCCAACGACACCGAATATTGACATCTGCTCCCTTAGAGATTAGCATGGTAACCACTCCTGCAGCTACCTCTGGGTCACCAATCCCTGCAGCACCAGATTTACTGGCATACTGCAACAGTGTCATATCTGTTAAACCATCACGGTCGTTGATGTGGGCATTTCGTTTTAAAATCTGTAAAATTGAAACAAAATAAGTCACACAATGAATACATATTATGAGGTCATGTAAGACACATTTTGACAAGACAGATTTTGATAATTATATTAACTTATTTAGAGTTATACAGAATTTTCAAACTGAAAAATGGTCAGATTAATTTTTCTTTTGGCAGTATTTGAACATTGGAACTGTTTATGTAGATAAAAATTAAGGTTAATACAAGCCTGAATTAATTTATTTTTCTTTACTTTTCATACCTCATTGATGAGAAGTTCTAAATTCTGTTGTGTCTGTGGGGTCCATTGTCGGAGGACGGCAAATATTTCAGGGACGGTTGTGTTTGGATTGACGAGGATATCATGACAACCAGGACATCCGGGGTCAAAGAATGATAGTTCAAGCTTCTGACAGCTGTCACAGACTGGGGGGTCTACACAAGGGTGAATCATGGGCTTGTCTCGGTCAGGGTGGTACCCGTTATTGTTGAGATGGAGATTGATGTCCTTCCCTTTCTCCTCTTCTTCTTCAGCCTCAAGCGTCATCCTGAAACACATTAGTACACCATGAGAACTTTTGAATCATGTTTAGTGATCTAAAACAATGTCACCCTGGTAAAGAAATTACCATATGTAATGATTTGTAATTTCTGGCCAATATGACACAATTTTTTCAAACACCATATAAGTCAATATAGCCCAGTTTTAAGACACAGCTTGGAAATGTGAGATTGTTGAACTGCAAGTTAAGTAAGCACAACATTCAGTATGGATGGTATATTATCGTACATGTTAAATCTTCCTATAATATTTTCTTCAATTTTGATGATGTAGCAAATTTCATCAACAGACAAAATTAAGAAAAGTTCCAGTACATATCAAGTATCTCCATGCTGCTATGATAACTAACTCTGTTATTGGTCTGGGACTTTCTAGTAGGTCAGTTATAACTCGGACACCAATGTGACGTGATACGCCAATAAACTGCTACTTACAAACTGTAAAAGGAAACCACATCACAATTAACACATCACACCAGTCAGCTGTAGGTTAGTAAGTTACTTTTAAGTTTAATCACAAGTTATAGGCTTAGTTTCCTTATCACCAGCCTTATCACAGTAGCTATTTATGTGGATTGTGTCATTCTGCACCTGCATGGACAACTTGGACACGTTTGTAAACTGATGGTGGACTGCTTCAAAGTGTTAAAGAGCGTCTGGTCGGGAAACTTATCCACACAGTGGAGAAATAAATTTAGTCAAATCACAACTTTCAGCAATAGATGAAATAAAATAACAATGTTACAGGGAATATCAATCTAGAATTTGAGAAATTTGAAAAAAAAATATCCGAGTTATTTTCATTGTTTACAAAACAATCATTAATGCTTTTAGAATACAACGTCAATGCTCTTGAATTTAATTACAATATGTTATGATGTTCGGTAAGGAAATATATTTTACAAGCAACTGAGATAAGATTCAAGGCTTTCTTTTGTACATGGTCATCGTATACCATAATTTAAGTTTTTTTTGTCTTTTTTAATGGAAAAAGAAATATAATCTATAACAGTTTTACTGAAGGTATCACTGTGATGTTTGATTTAGCCCAGGTGTCACTGTAGAGTTGAACAGGTATCACTTGTAAAGTAGGGTTGGACAGGTGTCACTGTGATACTTAGTATCCCCCAGGTGTCACTGTAAAGTTGGACAGGTATCAGTCATGTAAGGTTTGACTGGTATCCGGCATTCTCAATATATTAACTTGTCCTAATATTAATCTATGTATTGCTAAAACATAATTCAAAAGAATTAAATAACACACTGCTTTTGCCAACAAATGACTTTTTTACTTCTGACAACTAAGAGTCACTGTGAAGCTAGATGGAACAGGAGTCACTGTGAAGCTGGGATTTGATTGAAGTCACCATTGAATTGGATAGGACAGTAGTTACAGCAAAGCTGAATGGGACAGAAGTCACTGTGAAGATGGGTGGCACTGGAGACACTTTGAAACTGAGTTTAGATAGAAGTTACTGTTGATGTGGTTGGAGCCAGTCTGAACCTGGGTAGGACAGGAGTCACTGTGAAGGTGGTTGGGACTGGAGTTAATGTGAATCTGGATGGGGCGGGGATCACAGTTAAGCTGGGGGATACAGTGGTCACTGTAAATCTGGGTTGGACTGGAGTCACTATAAATCTGGGTGACAAAAATGACACTGTGAAGCTAGGTGGGTCATGAGTGACTGTGAGGCTGAGTGACACAAATGTCACTGTGACTTTGGGTTGGTCTGGGGTCACTGTGAACCTGGGTGACACAAATGTCAGTGTGACTTTGGGTTGGACTGGGGTCACTGTGAAGCTGGGTGACACAAATGTCACTGTGACTGTGGGTTGAACTGGGGTCACTGTGAAGCTGGGTGACACAAATGTTAGTGTGACTGTGGGTTGGACTGGAGTCACTGTGAAGCTGGGTGACACAAATGTCACTGTGGGTTGGACTGGAGTCACTGAAGCTGGGTGACACAACTGTCACTGTGGGTGGGACTGAAGTCACTGTGAAACTGGATGGGTCAGGAGTAACTGTGAAGATGGGTGGTAGGGTGGGACTGGAGTTAATGTGAATCTGGATGGGAATGAAATCACAGTTAAGCTGGGGGACACAGTGGTCACTGTAAATCTGGGTTGGACTGGAGTCACTATAAGCATTGGATGATGGATAGGAGAGGTGTCACCCTACACATGGAAACTGATAAAATAAATAGTTCCTAAAAGCAAAGTTTAACCATTAACTATATCTCTGATTAAGCGAAAGACAGTTTGGCCAAGAAAGTTATTAGACAACACAATCAGAATCGGTGAGTGTCTTGGACTCCTGAAGATAAATAACTGTACGAGACAGAAGAGAGTGACACATCACTAGGTACAGTTTAGGGATCATGAAGTGGGAAGTTCCAGATCTGCTAGATCTGTAGTCTGTCACTGTAGTCTGCCTGAGATGATAATATTGGTCCTGATTTAGTAGCCACAGCTTATCCTTTTATCATCCTGGTATATCTTACAATTATCAAGTCTTTCTGATTTAAATAAAGTAGGATTTAAGTGCCTTTTCAACATCCTGTTTTACTTATAAACCTGGTTAAAATGTGATATTTACCTATACCAATTTAATGGTCAGCTTAATATACACCAAAATGATCAAGATTATAACCTATCAGCTTTATCTTGTGAAAGGAAATTCCTGTTCTAAATCCTCTACCAGAGAATGAATGTTTTTGCTGGAAATAAAGCTATGTAATTTGATTTAATTTTCAGATTAAACAATTTAGTGTTGTTTTTCATCAAATTTGAGAATACATCTTAAATAATATCAGAATTGAGGTGAAGATACAGCCCCGTACTGCATATCATGGTTGATTTCTGTATACTTGTCTACAGTTTGTATGATATGACCACGCAATACATGTTCCCAGTACATATGTACATATACCTATATTAAGATTTCATATATGAAACTAAAGTAAACCTAATATCAACTAAGTAATGACACTTTCTCAATATTACTTCACCCATCGGTCTCTGGCCCTCGACTGTTATCACAAACTCTCAACACTGATCCATTGAGCTCACCCATCACAGTCGGAGGCTAATGGTGATTCAATGTAGTCCTTTATCTTATTGAAAAGTATTTCAGCTATAACAAAACCAGTTAATCATTAAAAAGTCTCTTCAAAACTTCTTACCTCAAAATTCCCAGATTCCTTGCTGTTGTGTCATATCTATAATTCTTGGTACAGTTTACACACACACTCAGCCGATCCTACTGCACCCACAAGTCCACACTCACAAGTAAATATGCTATTGAACAGACTCGTTTCGCTCAGCATGGTATACTTATGATTGTCAATGTTTGACTCATTCAGTCAAGTATTGAACATCTAACAAACAGTTCAATATCTCATATATCATTGAGTATTTTTAGCTGCTAAGTGGGTTTACTGTATAACATTACATCCTATAAACATTATGCATCATTTTGATAAAAAAACTTTGGAAACAAATTTTAAAAAGTCAAACTGACGTGCCAATTTTTCGTTCATGCAGATATATCTCATATATTTTGTCTAATCAAGATGACATTGCTACTGCAGACACGTGGTCATGTTTCTTGCTACTCAGAACCGACTGTGAATGTTATGTGTGTGACAATATCTCTACTTAAAGTCGCCAGTGTTTAAGGCTACTGCAGATGGAGTGATTCATGTAACATGTGTAGTCAAGCACCGAAATATCGAGGTATAATGGGCCTGTATCTACACATATAATTTATATCATTATATAAAGATCTATTTCTACAATAAAAGTGTTAATGATAGCATGGACTACATGTATAGGTGTAAAATATCATCCATAAAACATTTCTTATCTCTGAAGTCACAACGAATGTTTTGTAAACCCCTCTGCTGTAATTGGTCTGAAGACAGCTTTTTCTCTCATACATTTGAGTTATCTATAAACCTATCAAACATACCTGCATTTGCACTTAGAACACACAAGCATGTCACCATTGGCTTTTGCCTCACCAATGGTTTCCACTTCTTCAATAGTTTTTATTTCTCCATTAACTTTGAGTTCTCCGTTGGTTTTTATTTCTGCCTTGGAATTTGCTTTTCCGTTTTCTTGCACCTCAGCAAGAATTTTTTCCTTTTTCCCTCTGTTACCTTTCAGGTCAGTATTGGGGTTATCATTTTCAGATTTGATATTTTTCTCATATTCTGCCTTCTGTACCGCTTCTATTGACGGCAACTTAAGCTTACGTTTTTTATCAGCGGAATGCATGTTTCATATAATCCAGACAGGTTGGTTCCATAAAACAACTTCACGTGTAATCCTGTACAATACGAGAATCTCCAGAACAAACTGTAACGTTATAAACACCAGTGATATATGTGTAAAAGACAACCTACCACAATAGGTGTATCTATTGTAATGGAATGCAGGCTATTGTCTGGAAAACGCGTACAACCAATGTTTACAAATCCATCGCTGGAATCATTTTACACTTTGAATAACTTTTTCATGAATACGCAAAATATCCAAGTTACGAAGATTTAGAAATGAAGTACCCATAAGTATTACCACAGAAATCTTGGCCGGGAAAAAAAAGAATAAATCCCACACATGAAATATGCATAAGCTTAGTCAAACAAAGCAATGATTATGCAGGTACTAACAAAGATATATACCATACATATACCTATACACACAACCATGTTTGATTTAAATACCGGTGAACCTGCGTACCCAAATCAGTGGCCACTTCTCTGGTGGCATAAACAAGTAAATCTCAGTATTGTAACCCCTTATATCAGGCAATAGAGATTACCAACTTTAATTTATTGGGGGTTAGTGAATAATGTATTTATCAGTATAATGTGATCACATGCCGATCTCATTTAAATAATGAAACATATTTTACCCCTCCAGGTGATATTGACAATCTAAAACAGTGTGTTTTTCACAAGTACACATTAAAGTTTATCAGTCCATTATCAGACCGTCCTGATTGACAGACCAGAGAAAAATCTCCCTCTGTTGTTTACTGAATACATTGGAATAATTGAGTCAACAAAAACTGCACTGACAATGACTGATAAAGCATTCACCTACTCCAGACGTGTATTAGTTAGGGTGGAACTGTGATGGCTAAATTATTCACTTCTTTACAAATTCTATACAATGTCGAAGAGATGGAAAACACTTTCTTCTATTGTTTGCATTTTAATTTTATATGATTTCAAAAGACTGAAAAAGCCATAACTCCATTCCACATGTTCAAAGTTTTTGAACACAAATATCTAAAAAGATCCTGCTCCTTTACAACTCTCCTACTAGATCATACAGACCTCACCGCCATAACAACAGGAAACTACCCATTCAAAGCAAACACTTGAATGGCAGCCAAAATCTTAATGAAACCCTGTAATTAATTGATAGTTGAATTTGAAGTGATTGAGCAGACATGACTTTTTATGATAAAGAAAGTCTACGAGCCTCATTTTGAATTGATATTATCATGGATTTATGCTGGTGATTACAAAAGAACAAAATTAAAAGATTAGCATATTGATTTTCAAATTTGTTTAATCTGCTTCATAGGGAATTTAAACCCATGTCTTTCCCGAGTTTATATAACATAATCTTCTCAAAATACTGCTTGCTGGTAACCTGAAGTTGTTAAATCTCCACAGCGTCAATACACATATACTACTGTAATTAACTGTATGGACTGTTTTTAAAACCCCCTGTTATGACTCAAAATCAAATATTTACTTGTTAGGAAGTAAAACAATCATGAAAGGTTATGCTTTATAAATGTAACAGTCAAGTAAGTTTTGAAATATTTTTCTGACAATTTTTCATTTATTCTTATTCATTTTTTATAATTTATATCGTCCAGACAGACTTTGAACAATACTTGCTTAGATTAAGCTGCATAATAGTTTTATCAGATTAATGACATGGATTTTTATCACCTTTGAAATGGTTATAGGAGTGTAAAGGTCATTCAAATCCCCTAGCATTACTTATACTGTTAAACAAACAGCCAAACAAAATATTACATGTGTTTGTACTTCAGACCAAAAACATTTCATTCACAAAACAAGTACACCCACCCCTCCCCTCTTCCCCATCTCATGAGCAAAGTGTTGTTTATCACAGTTTCAGAGTCCAAATTTGATGAAACTAACTACAACATTATGAAGCATGTGAGAACGTATTTTTTTGATGTGTATAACATCTACATGACATATCCCATAATTCACTTGTCTAACACACTTTGGCGTAAAACAGTTATAATGTCAGACTAGCTAAATTTCAATATCAACACTTTACTTTTTCTATGTGATACTGTCATCCTTGATAAATTCAGTTAAATACATTTGTTTTAGTATCACTCTCTGACTTCATTATTTTTCTATCAAAATAGTTTTGCCTAATTGGCAGATATGGAACACTAAAAGAATGATTCAAAAGAGGGCACAAAGAATATTTAACAAAAAGGAATCACAAGAACAATGACCTAGAATCCTAAGAGGTTGATAATTTTCTTTATAAAGACGGTATAGAAACAGTAACATGTTCAGAAATGAGTTCACTAGTCTATTTAAGTGAGGGGAAGATAGGGGAAGGAAACAGACATTTGTCATTAAAAAAACCGTAGCCAACTTTGTAAAATAGGAGGACATGAATAAAACTAGTAAAAGAGGTGTGGAGCTGACCCAGATACCAAACTATAATTCTATATGGCCTTATCAGAAAGACAGTCTGTCCCATTGTTCAACTCTGGAAGTCTACGGTGAAGTAGTGAGCTAAATCTTAAGCTTATACAAAAGGTGTATACAGTCAGAATGTGATTAATTTAGCTGGATTAGCTGATAAATAAAGACAATCTACTAACATTTACAACAGCAGGTGCTTGGAAGTGAACAACCAGGTTCTAACTTCAGGTAACATGTGGTGATATTGATTTTATATCTTACATGTAAATTAAGTTTCATTGTCAGAAAGTTTATTTATATTCTGTGACCTACATTAACCCATTTCATTCACACAAGAAAACATCTCTCAGTTTTGATATATATATGAATTCATTGAATGTATTGTTCACTCGACAAAGACTTTAATCACTTTACACTCAATGTGGAATAGACATGACTTTGATCAAAATTATCATGGGTACATATAGCCAGCATTGAATCTGTTGACAGGACTGAAAATTCTTCAGTTATAACCCATTTACCTTTGAATTCATCAAATATTTCAAAAAATCTGTTTGCTCTTGTTAAGCACATATTTAGCATTCGTTATATTTTTATTTCATTTCACAGCTGAAAACACAAATCATAAGACTGGATCAAATTAATGTAAAACTAGCACTGTTACACAGGAAAATCAACAGGTAGTTCATACAAGCTAGCTACTGGCTCCAGATCCTTGCCATTATGAATATTGCCCGACTCTCTCTCTGCAACCCTTGAACACAAAATATTATGGTTTGGAGCAGGGAATTTAATACTTTCAACATCTGTATCACATTATAGAAGTTATTTTTGCGCGCAAAAAATGATATTAATTTTGATAAAATCTCATTATTTGTTCAGAATGATTAAAATTAATGTTCCTTGTAACCTAGATGTTGGCAATAAAGAGTTGTGTGTGGAGTTTTGTATTGAGACATATTGTAGTGATGCCGAAGCACTAAAGGTCTCTCTAAGGTTGTTCATCTTGCCAAGCTCCCCTCCCCCCTCCCTTCTTGTAACTAGAGAGTCCTGCATTGCCTTATGTGGTTCATCTCCATCTCAAGAAGATGATCAACTGCCCATCGGTGACTCAACTCTAACCTCCCATTATTGGCTTAACTCCACACACCATCTCTGCCCTTCCTTCGTCAATTCCTAATCCATGCTAAGCCTTGGCTAGTCAGATCACTAATCTCTACCATCATCCACACGTTCACAGTTGTCCTTCATTAAGTGGGGAACTATTACAAACAGGTACCAGGTGCACAACAATCCTATCAACTTTTGTGAAAATTGTAGAAATCACATCATGATTAGTCTCAGATTGTGAAAATTGTCTAAAACACATCATAATTAGTCTCAGATACAAAGATAGGTTGGACACTTATTTTAAGTTAAAACATTTGTTTATAACGCCAACTTGACTTGCACCGCTCAGATGAGCTTACAAATCTAGGTTACAACCTGTTGAGAGTTCATACCCTAGAAGAGGATTGTTTATGTA